CACTCCGGTCAAAAAGATAATTGCAGATTGTGATCAAAAACTTTATGAGCGTATAGTTTCTACACCATCCCATCTTTTGAAAGATATCTTACCTCAGCGTACCTGTAACTCGTAACCGATTACCATGCAGTAGCACAACACAGAAAGAAAAATACAAGAACTTGTTCCCTGACCGTCTCCTTCGGCAACTCAACGACTGATATATAGCGAAATAGATGTATTTCTAGTTTAATTTACCTAATTGTATAGCACATCTCGTAAAATCAACAAATTAATCAACAAAGTTTAATTTAAGTTTTTTGTTGTTGTTGTTGTTATGTTGGTGTAAAATCTACCAATTCCGATTTCAGTATTTCGTTTTTTTTTTGGTTTTATTTGGCTTGAAAGGCTTCGGCTTAAATTATATCGGCTTAGCCAGCCTCGTTTTGAGTCATTTGACGAGCAAAAGAAGGTCAAGTCGATTTTTTTTCTGCGGCTTTTGTCTCAGTTTCTGTCGGTTACTTCACCATGCTATATTTATTTTGTATCGAAAGTACTCAATGAAAAGATTTTTTTTTAAGTCTGAATTGGTGTGTCTGCTCAAGAGTTGTTTACGAATTAATTTAAAAGGGAAATTTTTAAAGCAACTACACGATTTTACTGGAACAGACACACGTTGAGCCGAAAAAAGAATTGTTTGTCTTTTCAGGTTTTATCATGTTTTTGTTGTTGTTCTTGTTGTTGATGTGCAACTTCTTTGTGCAAATTACATTCTACTCCGTTACTTGAAAAGAAGTAGCTAGTAGCTATGTTAGCATTATTAAGGTGCGTTAGTCGGTGACTCGCCAGTTGGAATCTGACTGAACAACTTAGTAAATTCCATTTGGTTGTTATTTCTGAAATGAATTGAATTTTTGTGAAAGTTATGATTAACTTTTTTTTTGATTTGTCTAATAAAAGATTAGAAGAAGAATTTATTTCTCTTTGTCAATGTCAAATATGCATATAAAAAAACTCTAACATGAAGCACCAGAAACAGCGAGGGGACATTTAATGAACCCATTTAGGTTACAAAGCACTGCGCGTTTTATCAAATGAAATACAACATCTGATCTTCAATGAAAGTGAAAACAATAATAAATATAGAAGAAAAAAATTTAAAAAAATGTGTAAGTTTGAATAAAGATTGAAAAGCAGCAGCAGATTAATGGCAGTGTCTAGACAGGTTAATGACATAAAGTCCGAGCTCTGCCTCAATATTCAAAAATATTGTTCAATCTTAGCCGGTATAGAACCAATCTAGATGATCCAGAAATTCAAATTCATCCCCCAAAATTTCTGAAACTCGCTAGTGGTAGCCACCAGTATTCAGTTTTAAAACAACTTGAACTTGTTCATTTTATGGTTGCTACTTCTACTAATTGTGTTCTATCCCTTGAAACCTCCTTAACCTCAGTAGAACTGATTGGGGGCTAAACGGTCAGTAGACACCTAACTGAGCTCATGCGGCAGTAACCAGCGAACAAGCCCAAGTGTGGTTTTCAAAATGCTTTGAAAACCATATAAATTTATTCAAACAATTTAAAACATTCAGGCAGTTCAATTCTGTGATTTGCTCAATTTAGTCTTCCATTGAGGTAAAATATGTCAGCAAAAAACCTATTTGATCAGCTCTTCATTGCTTAAAACAAACAAATCACGAATTTCGCGGGCAACGCGTTGAATATCTGAATTTCGCGGGCAACGCGTTGAATGTTTTTTTTTCTTAAGTAAATTAAAAAGCTTAGCTCCTCTGTAACAAAGTCAAGCTCTTTGAATTTTGCTTTTGAAATTGGGAGTTTTCATTACATTGAAAGTTGACCTGCTGATCAAATATGACGGTATATCAAATTCAAGACGCTCGTTCAAGAAATGTTCAGAATGTAATCTTGCTATTGATCGAAAGGTAAGTTTCAGGAGTTCATGAACATGCAGCTCGTGGACTGTTATTATTATCAATTTTCTTTGTTAAAAACTGGTAGAATGCTTTCATTTCTACTTTTGAAAAAATCAATAGAATATTTTTCTTTTGGATCATGAATAGGGGCAAGAGGTTTGTGTAGGACTTGCAAACATACACCAATTTTCCCTTTTGCAAAATAGGCTTGATGTTAGAGCCATAATATTCATTCATAACGGTTATGTGAACCTAATGACGCATTTTCGAAACGATGCCACCTTATTTTCTAAGCTTAGTTCTTATGCGGTCCTTTAAGTAACTTATAAACCAAAGCAAAATTTTTGCACTCACACTAAACATATGTAAATTACGAAACAGAATCCCGTGATCAAGTTTGTCAGAAGACTGTTTTAAATCAAAATAAACTGTTCTCTTGGGTGATTTAGTTCTACCTAAGCGGCATTTTTCTGTTTCATCAGCAATAGCATCAATAGTACTGTTTTTTTTTCGGAAACCAAATTGTTTGATAGAAATGAGTGAGTTTCTTTCAAGATAGCTGTACTCTGTTCTACAATGCGTGTTTAAATACCTTACTCCAAAGTACAAATAGTGATATTGATCGGTAGTTACTGACATCCAATTTCGATCATGCTTTATATGAAGAATATACTACGGCTTGAGCCAGAGCAGTAGGAAAACATCCTGATTTAAAGGATAGTTCATTGAGTTGATTCAAGAAGGGAGCCATGGTGTAAAAACTAGCTTTAGCGATTAGATTTTTTTACTCAATCTATTCCAGTAGATACTTTGTTTTGTAGCGCAAAGAGAATTACTTCAATTTTACTCACAGTTATTGAATTTAAACGCATGCAAAAATCAGGCTCAAAAGAAAATTGATCGGATTCTATTTTAGGTTTTCATTAGCTCAATGAATGCCATAGAGGAAAAATAGCCATTGAACTCATTCGCGATAGCTACTATGTCGCTAACAACGTCGCTACTACTTCCATTTACCGCAACTATTCTTCTACAAGATTTGAATAATTTCAATTAATCTAGACTTGGGTAATATTAAACAAACCAGTGTGTCCTAATTTTTAAAATTAAGACTTTGCTTGATTCGAAACTTTTTGTCATTGTAATTTAACGTTTTTTTTTCACCCGCAGAGTTCATTTGATATATTATTGGTTTTTATGTGCTGATTTTTGAAAGTTTGTCAATTTCATGGTATTAAATAAATTGAAAAGAATATAAAAAGGTCAAATTTTTTTCTAAGATAAATGTGGCCGGAACGGAACTTTCACCTTGTTATTGCACTGGAACCAGCTTTCATAATCTGTATTCTTACTTGCTATAGATTGGTCTGTATTTTTTCCACGCTCAATATTCCCCAGGTTTTTCGATACTTATAATTTCACTTCAAATGAGCGAAATTAGGTTATAAATGCAGAGTTTCCTAGTGGAATGAAATTTGTTCGTATGAATCTAGTTCGTGTCAATTTAACCTTGTGATAACAGAAAACTGTCGAACATAGAAAATCATTTAATTTCACTGGGGTGTAATCTGATGTTTTTTTTTCGAAACCAAAGTTTGAAAATTTTCCGGCAAAAAATGTTTTCTTTTTCGGCTTCCGTGAGTTAATTGAAACTTTTCAATCATGTGTTTGCGATATTTTTCTAGCTTGTTTTTGTTTTGGATTTTGTAGAAAGTTTTTTTTCTGCATCGCGTATCCTGAGCAGTTCACGTCTTTACCCTAACGATTAGCAAGGGTATTGCAACGGAGTTGCTCGAGTTTTTTACGCGTAAACAACTTTGATGAGTTAATTTTATCTCATAAGTGTCAATCATAATTGTTCTTGAAATTCATGAAGCTGTACATCCACATGTTTTTTACTTTGAAATTGTGAAGTTGAAGTTTTTTTTTCAAAAACTGGCCAGCTTTTCATTGACATTTTTCCAACTATTTTTTGGCATTGTTTTCTTTCGCCTTTTTGAATTTTATGTAGTCCAAAATATTTCGGCCTTTGTTATCGGCTTTCGCGTTTGGTCGGCTCAGTTGCGGATATTTTACGTGGTATCGCAAGTGGTGCGAAGCTCCGTTTAGCCTTTAGCCTCTGTGTTAAGATTCTTGTTCAGGCAACTCTGATAGTCTGTCGTGGGCTGCTATTTTGTGGTCATTTTGTTTCGCTGCTAAGTGATATGAAGCTCAGCTTCGCGTTTCTGTGTAGTATGTGTGAAATCATTGATGTCTTACCAGAAATAATTTTTTGTGGTAAACGGATCTGACTTTTGGCGGGTAGGTTCGTACTTCAAGTACCTCCGTTTCCAAATCGATTCGTTTTTTTTTTGCATTTTGTTGGAGTTTCATTCTTGTGAGTTTGTGTTGCTTATGCTTGCAAAGTGCAGCTTTGCCTGTGTGTGAAATCTTATACTGGTTCCTTTTGGCATAAAGTTGTTTTCTTTTGAATATTGATGCCTTTGTTCCTTTTATCTTTATTACAACGCCAAACTTTATTGCAAGTTACTAATTTTTCAGTAATATTAAATACATCGAAAACGCCAGCTAACATTGTAAAAAGTGATCTGAAGATTTGGTTGTTTTGTTTGAAAATTAAAGTTTTTATGCCTGATGGTTCGTGTATTATTTGATGTCACGTGATCTATATTGTCAAAACTTGCTGAACAGTATCTGTTCTCTTTGAGCACTTCTATTTTGTTAGGCGCAAGTCAATATAAACGTATGAAGACTAGATGCCAAACTTATTTATCATCAGATTAAACTTATCAGAAAAAACAGTGATTTGAAGTTAGCCCAGTTTATTTATGGCAAAAAACTCACAGCAGCCTAGGATGTCAGTGTTTTTGCATTGCAAAATGTGGTATCATCGAGTTTCCGGTTTAGAAAGCCAGTTTGAATTTAATGATTTAAAATGTCTTTTAAACACGTCACTTTATTGCTTAAATAGAGCAGCCTGGAACCATAAGATAGAATTGAGGCTTCGCATCGTATAGGAAAGACGTTCTTCAGTGGCGGAGCTTATCAGAGCAGAGCTTTCCGTTTCCTTCTATGAATAGTGGAGCTATTTCAGCATAATATAGCTTTTTTCTTTTCTCCCGCACTCTTTTTTTCTTTCTTAGCTTCTCTTCTCTTTTACTGCTAAGGAAAATGGTGTAAAGTGAATATTGCAGTTTATTACAGAGACTTTGCCGCTTTTTCTTTTTACATATTTGCCTTGGAACAGACTAAGAGAGCCACCACCGAAGCAGAACAGCAGAGCTGAGAAATTTCCTGCCTTTTCGGCCCTATTTTACTTGTTCGAGCGAAGCCTCATCGTCTATTGGATGGCATCTAAATGTGTAAAATACAACAGCAGTAATAGCAGCATTTCAGGTTCTTCTGTTTCTTTCAGGTGAAATGCCAATTCACTGCTTCACCACTCCGCAGCAGCCTTCTTGTATATTACTCCTCCAATTTTGAACCTGTTGGGGCTAAAAATAACAGCCCTGATCCAGTGTTTTGAGAGATAATTGCTTTGAAATTCCCTAGCGGGTCGCAAACTGACCGGCACAATTAATTGTATCCGCCGCGCTGTTGCGATCCATTTTGATACCTTTTCTTTGTGGTAAAATTAAACTTCTGCACAAATTGTTTGTTCACAATCTTAATCAAAACGTTTGCAAAAAACAGAAGAATGGGAAATATTTAGTACCAAAAACATACTTTATTCTTACAGCTAGTTGTGATTTTTCCTAAGATTAGAGGAAAAATAGCAGAGTTTATCGTTACTGAAGGAGAAATTTCAAGCGATATTTGTATTCATGTTTTCTTGCCGTCTTCATTCATCAATTATTCTGATCACTTAACAAGTATTGATTGCTTTTAAACCACAAAACTATTTCCTTATTTTGTAGTCTTCTTGTTTTACATAATCTACCTACAAAGTGGTCATTCAGAGGACATTATTATCCATTATCCTTCCCAAACGACTGTTTACAAGCGAGCGCAGAAGTACATCTTCATTTGCATATTTCACTGCGTCATAGCTATAGCAATATGAGCAACCCCAGTTTAATGAAGCAAATGTGCTGACCGTTTTTTTCAACTGATCACAAACAACAGGTGAGGGTATTATTATGCTGTAAAGATTGAAAAAGTTTTTTCTTCCATTTGCGTTCTTTTTTGATGTTCTTTTTTCTTGAGAATAGCTTTCCTAATGGTTGCTAAATGGAACCATTGATTGCCGCAGCTCATTGTCGGCGATTAAAGTTACTAAACATTCCAAACGCACTTACTTGAAAAGGGTTTTAAAGTTTGGACTCGCTGATTTTTTCTCTTTTGGTTGTTAGTGCGTGTTTTTAGAAAGTTTTAAAATTTGGACTCGCTGATTTTTTCTCTTTTGGTTGTTAGTGCGTGTTTTTAGAAAGTTTTAAAGTTTGGACTCGCTGATTTTTTCTCTTTTGGTTGTTAGTGCGTGTTTTTAGAAAGTTTTAAAATTTGGACTCGCTGATTTTTTATGTTTTTAATGTTCGCTTGGTTTGAGCTGAAAAAAATCAGATATACCTTATTTAGTGATTGCTCTTCTTATGCTTTCACCTAGACGTAAATCAGTGTGAATACCGAAAAATTCAAATCAGTTTTTCTCAACACTGAGAAAAGTTCAATTTTCTTAAGTGTAAAGATGTGATTTTTTCAAGTTTTTTTCAGGAAGAGTCTTGAAATTCAAAGGGTTTTTTTTCCAAGTATTTTCACTTCCCTTTGTTTTTTTTGCGAAAAAAGGTCGCGAAACTCGTGAATAACTTCTAGTTTCAGAAATATACTTTATATTTTCTGAATTCCCAGCGTAATAAAAAATCTATTGATCCATTTGTCTAATTGGAATAATTTTACGGAAAAGTAACGGTCATAAACAGTATTTGAAATTCAAGGAGCTTCAAAGTGATGTATTTTGAACTTCGAAAATAGAAATTCAGTAATGATTCATTTTTTTAGAAATTCAGTAATGTTTTTTTGGTTTACTTGATTTTTTACACTTTTCCAAGTTTCTGTTGGCTATGTTTTTCATTTTAGATTTTGGCTTCAATTTTTAAATTTGGTACCTCACTTGACTCTTCCGTACGAGCTCTCCTCGAGGTCCAAATTGGGCGGAAAAAACCAATCGTACGCCATAGTTAATTTCCGTTACTTGGTGACGTGGTCGAAACAATAATTGATAGCTCTATAGGAAGTGAGTTTTCGATGTCTGAAATGGTTCTGAAGGAGAAATGTTTAACCTAAAATGCATTGAAAAAAAAATGCATTCAAGAATCACCACTAAAAGGGATGTATCTTTTCTGAGCACGTTGTGCTCGCATCTCAGGTTTTTCTTTATCAAAAGGTACTTGAAAAATATCGGTATTTGATTCTATCTCTGAGATGCCTGAAAACAGGGTTAATATTTGTCTCATGGCGCTCTCCTAAGTAATGTTTTTGTAAAAGAGTTTCTCATTTCTAATTTTGTTTATTTAATGGCCTCTTTGAGCAACAATTTTTTGTTCCTCTACACTTCGTTTTTTTTTGTTTTAAACACAAACTCAATTACCATCAATAATTGTCCGAAAAAACTGAGTGCTATATCTTATTAAAGATCTTGCAGTTGTGAGTCGCACCCTAGTTAAAAAGTTTCGAGAAAAACCTGTTTGAAATTTTTGATAAATTGCTGATAAATTAAGTTAAGTCGTGAAAACTTGGCTTAATTCCAGTAATATCAATTTTCGAAATTTTTTTTAAAGTTTTTTTTTTAATCGTGGTGGAAACTTTCTGGGTCACTTGCACAGAAAGTGGCTATCCTTGTTATAGATATGAATAATTTCATGTGAAGTTTGTTTGTGGCAGCTGTCATGTACCTACTATAAACAATCTTGTTAAATTTCAAAAGGGAAAGAAAAGAGTAGAGGTTTTCTCCGACCGATTATGATTTTCTGGAAAAAAGTTCGTTATGAGCAAAATAAAGCATTACATCAACGTTTTTTTAGTCGTGATTTGCATTCTTGAAAAAACAGTAAACTTGTCAGAATAAAAATTTGACGAGAATGAGAGACTGAGCGCACGTTGCAATATTGTTTTAGCTATTGTTACATCTTATTGCAGTTGTCCAGACAATTCGTTCGCTCTGTCACAAAATAAGCTGACAAAACAAATAGTCTCTAGAAAAAACTTTTTCTCCCTATTTGAAAAATATTTTCCTTTTTTTAATTTTAATAATCGTGGCTGGAATATTTGGTGTTTTTGTACAATTGGCTTTACTTGTTTTTTGGTAATTGTTTTGCTGTTTTCTTGGCTCGTCTTTTCGCGTAATAAGACTGAGAATAAAACTATGGTTTCAAAAAATAAAATTCTTTTTTGATATAGTGAATGATGAGATGCTTGAAAATTTATTTGAGACAGAATTTGTTGGATGAAGAAATTGCTGTTATGTTCCTTGGAGTCCTGATTTTTCAACCTTGCTTATGTTTTTTTTTTCTATTTTAGGACAGCTCGCCCTCGTCTAAACCTCTGAGTGTCATCTTCTTCTTCTATTACTCTTTGGAGGCGTCTGTTGTGAGTTGAGATAATGCCCCTCCCTCCGGTAGCCGAGATCAACAATGGGTCCTCAAAGAGAATATCCAGCGACAATGGCACTACACCGACCACTGGAACTGCCTCCATGTTGGACACTACTCCGCCCCTACAGGAGAATGTACACCCAAATCACGCCCTCTTTAAAAAGGTGAGTTAGACGAACATAGCCAATCGAAGATTGGAAAAGAGTAATGGACGCAAGTAAACAGAAAAAACACTGACTTTGTTGAAAAAAACAGATGCCCTCTAAGCTCTTTGAATTGCTAGAAGAATTTATGATTGGCGCTTTTTTGATAACATTGACCCAACTAAAGAAAACTGGATCAATAGGTAAAGTTTTTATTCCGCTGGAAATTAAAAAACTAAATTCTGGAAAAAAAAATCAGCAGGACCAATATAAGAGTCTTCGCTACGTTCATTACTCTTAATAAAAATGAATGATATTTGGATAGTGTTTATTATGAACTATGAACGCACTGGTTTAATCAGAACTTGGATTAGAATGTGTGAAGAGTTGAATGTTTTCTTATTATCAAGTTGAAGTATTTCGAATCAAGTTTGGCAGTTCCTATGCAATTCTTAGTAACTTTCCAGAATCTTTTTTTTTTCTGTTTTACTTATTTATCATTTCCTGAAAGTTTAAGCTTTTAAAGTTTTGTTCCGGACAGTTTCTGGTACGAGGAGGAGACCAACTGGCGACTTCCTTTTTCCGTGGCCATCAATAGTTGATTCGTTTTATTCTTTCCAGAAATGCCATCCAGTATAGCAGGACAATTTGAGTAGAAACTGCGACTCAGTTTGGTCCGGCCTTGTCTAGTCTAGGATACAATGAATCTGTCAATAATGCTAAGAGTCTGATATTATTTGGATAAGTTTTGGATCTAGTTGAGATCACCCACCCCACATATTAGTTCAGACTACGGTTGGCACTGCGTGAACTCCGATTGGCTGAAATTTTCTGTTTTTGAAGCAACTTAACAGCCTCATTCGTGAAATGCCCAGCGGGAGAATGCTAACTTGGTCCTAAATTTTGCATTAGAAGAGGGGTGGGCATGATATTACCATATTTTCAGAAAACAGTTTTTTTAGGTGCCCAGCTGATTTTTCTGTTGGTGAATGTGTGTTCCATTCTGATAAATACTGCACACGTGCTTAAGCTTTTTAAAGTTTTGTTGTTTTGTTTTGTCATGCGCAGCCTATATCATCTGATCTGTTACCATTAATCGAGTGATGGGCAAAAATAGTCATTGGACTTTCAATTGATTAGCGCTAATGCTCACCATTTGTCGAAGAGGTCTCCTATAAGAGATTTTTTTTGCAAAAAAATTATTTCTTTTAATTCTAGAAAGATATTTTATGAAGTTATTTTTGCGGTTCAACTTTTGTTTCCGTTTTAATTTCAATTCAAACTCTTTCGCTTAAGGAAGTCAAGTTACGCTCTCCAATTACAAAAGCGGAAATTGCCAGTTTTCTCTAATTGCGTTCTTGTTACCCTTGTGATAAGCAGCAAGGGTATTGCAATCGGGTACTAGACTTCTTACCTCGTAAATAACTTTGATCACTTCCTGGAAGCCTCTGTTGGACTCATTTCCTGGAAGACTGTTTGCAACAAATTTACCGCTACAGATTTATTTTGTGCATGCTAGCGTTTTAAATATTTGTCTGATTCAAAGTTTGCTTTTATTGTTGTTTGTTAAAGTTTCATTTTATAGCAAAAAAAGTTTTTCGGCTCAAAAATTTTTGGCTTGTTTCATATTGACTTAGTGTCCTCTTATTGCATCGTTCCACGAACGAAAAAAAGTTTTTTTTGTGTGTGTGTGTTTTGGGGGTGAGAGGGACTTTTGGCTTAAATTGTTTATTCTAAGGTAAGATTGGCTTTGTATCTTACTGCTTTATATGCTACTGCTTTATATGTTTTGTTTCGAGACTAATTTCACATTTTTTTGTCTTGGGATGCTTTTGTTTCAGTACTTATTTTGATAGATCTTATTTTTTTCCACATTTTCAATTTTCTTTTCGACTTAGCATTTTTTTTGTTTTGTATCGCAAGTAGTGCGCAGCTCAGCTTCGCCTCTGTGTATGAAAAGTGTATAAGTCATAAAAATTTTTCACATTTAAAGAGCTACAAACAAGTTTTTCTTTCCAAGATTCTCTTCAAAAATTGAAAAAAAATTTTTGAATAAAAAACCATCATTTGTCGTCAATTTTCTTTAGTTCATTGCACATTTTTATTAAGGTTCAATGAACGTTATTCAGACTAGGTCGTGGTTATTTTTTTGTTTTTTGTAAGGAAAAATCTTGAAATTTGTTCAGGCTCAAATTTACTTTTCGTGGTTTGACTTTTGATTTCTTTGAATTTCAATTTATTTCTTTTTTTTTCTAGGAAGGCAAACTCCAGTATCGAACATCGAAAGTGTAGAGGTCACTAAAATCGTAAAGGCTATCTATTTTTCCTTCGATTTTCGAAAGTTGAGATATTTCACAAAACAAGTCAGAATTTTTTCTGTTCACTTGCGTTTATTGACTCTTCTCCAACTTTCTGTTGGCTATGTTCCAATTTTCTGATGGCTATGTTTGTATTATGTATCGTATATTTAAACTTTTGCGATAGCAAGCGTTTTAAAATAGGAATACAGACTTGTTTTGGGGTTGACAACTTGTTTTGCTAAATTTCTTGAATCATTGGACTGCGCTTGCCTTCCATTAGCGTTTCCCATTTATATGCTTGATTTCATCAAAATTTAAATTATGCTACTCATGAAAATTTGAATTTATGCTACTGGACTATTGCTATAACAGTACATGCTAGACGTTTTATCAGTACTCTGAACATTGCAAAAGTTCACTTCATGGTCTATTCTGTATCTGCTTAGTAATTTACAGAGCATGAGCTGTATTCAGACTCATGCTCTGTAATCAAAATTGCTCAAAATTTACTTATGACACCAATTTTTTTACGACATTTCTTGTTTTCGTATCAACGAGCGTCTAACACACTTGTTGCCGGCTTAGCGGCCGCTGTTCGGTAAATTTTAACATTTTATTTAACTACGGTTTGTTTTTTGGCAGTCATTTTTTTGATTGTTTTTTTTTTAATCTCTGTCTCATTTTCTGCTTGCTTGCTTGCAATGCTGCGCTTACGTTGTATCGCAAGTGATGCGAAGCTCCGCTTCGCCTCTTTGTTATATTTTTTAATTTGAATATAATTGAGCTTTTTTGTAATTTTCTGTTCAATTCGGAGGTTAATGATAGCTTTTTATGCGTGTGAGCTTCAGAGTGGAGCTATGGAGAAATTTGCGAGAACAAAGTTTTCTAGTTCATATTTTTGTGATGACAATCTTACTTTCTGCTCAACGGGTGTCTACCTACGTGTTGTCGGTTTACCTACTGCTACATACATTTTACCTGAAAGCTTATTTAATGCTGGAAATTTTTTTCAAGCCATGTATTTTTCAATTGAAATTCATTCGTCGAGAAATGTATTAAAAATTGGAAGATGCCGTTTTTTCAATTTTCGTTTTGCTCGAATACTTTCTCGGAATAATACCTCTTGTCTCATTTTATGTCTGCCAGCTTGCCATGCTATGTTTTTGATGTATTGGAAGTGACTCGAAAGTCTATTTCGCCTGTTTATAAATTACTGAATTGATTGTTTTAATTTTTTATGTGATAATTGATAGATGGAGTTGCTGGTGGAGAGGATGCAGGACGAGAAGGAGGGAGTGCCAATCAAGAACGCCAAGTCATTTATGTCCAAAGTGCCCAGTGTGTTCACAGGTAAGCTGTCGGCTCTTTTGCTTTTTCCCTTTCGCCTCACACGAGCATCAGTTTTTTGACTTTTCTTAAAAACTACACTATCAAATCTGAGATGAAAGAACCAGTTGCGATAGTTTTTCCTACAGAAGCGTCGGCTCGTTATTTTATATAAGAGAAATGTTACGTCCTTGGGAAAATTCCAATATATCAGTTTTTCAATTTTCTCACTTATTTAAGTAGAGAAACAACAAAAGTTTTGGGCAAAATCCTAATATTGAAATTACCAATTTCATACCGCATCAGTATAACAAATTCCAAAATTATCAAACACGTACCTCCAGCTTTAGCTGGGAGCCTAAATTTATTTTATCAAGACATACAAAAGTTTTGGTTAATCTAGTTTTTTTCAACATTTTTATATATTTTTTTTGAACTTACGTTTTCTATGTTTGTGTTGTATCGCATGTAGAGCGAATGGCAAATGTTGCGAATCTCCGCCTCGCCTCTGTTTATATTTTATTTTATTCCAAGCAACTCGACCTCTCATCGAGCAATAAAGCATTTAGTTGTTTAACCATTTTTCCCCTGTTGATAATATTCAAAAACCAACAAAGATTTGGAAAAATGAGAAAAAAAATTGAATTAATTACTGAATCAGATATCTGAAAGTCAGCGGTGAATTTTTCTGCTTTGTTGCAGGCGCTGACTTGGTGCAATGGCTCATGAAAACTTACGACGTCGACGAATCAGGTAATTCAATGAGCTGCTTTAGCCATCACTGCAAAACCCGTTTAACTCTCAGCAAGGATATAGGTATGATCGACTGTTTCTAATCAAGTTACGTCTGATTAGTAGCTGGAGGAGCATGTACCTAATTTGTAGGCCTAAAAGTTTAGTTACTTATAACAGGACATATTAGGTCATACTTTTATTACATTGTTTGGGGCGGTACTTGTACTACTTGGAAACACCTAAATTTTTCTGGAAATTTGATTTTTTTTAAAACAAATTGCATTCAGCTCACTGTGGTCTCAGCTCAAAAAAGTGTTTGATGATAAATGTCTTAGTTAACGGCTATGTTTTTAAATAATTCTTCAAATAGATATCGTTCGGTATGTGGCGTTATGGCGCTCCGGTAGTGATGGTGCCCAGCAATCATATGATTGTGGGTTCAAATCGCACGTCCGCTGCAATTTGTTAAGTGAGATCTAGAAGAAAGTCATAGCTTAATGGATTCTGGTTATATGCGCTCTTGTCAATTTGAAAAATTTAGCTCAAGTTAGGACTCCGGGATGGTTGACTAAAAAAGAAACAATTTGTTCTCCAATGCAATTGGTCTCAGCTCAAAAATGTGTTTGAAAAATGTGGTCTGAATTTACGGTGACATGTGTAAGTTTCAGAAGCGGTGAGTCTGGCTTCTCTCACAGCAGCTCATGGCTACTTCTTCCCCATAGATGGACACAACCTCACAGTCACCAACGACGGCACCTTCTATCGGTTCCAGGTCAGAATCAAAATCCGGTTTTAATCAGACTATCGTCATCGCTTTTTAAATTAATTTTTCACTTACTTAAGTGCCGCTTATTCGCTTGCTAGTTTTTGCAAGTTTGACAATGGAAGTTTCTTCAATGAAAATACGATTTGTTCCGATTTTCGAAGAACGTAAAACAATCCACCGTGTTTTTTATGCATATCGCGTGCAGTTGCTGTCACGTGAAAGTGAAGACTGACATGTGCAAGTTCTTTAAAATTCAGCTAAAAAATATAATTTTTACAGCTTAAAATATAATTTATCTATTACAGCTTTTTGTCAGCCCGCTTTTCAAACTGAGGCCTTTTCTCTATATAGGTAATTTACACTTGCAAGAGCAAGTGTCGTGTAATCTGGAGCGAGAGTTTTCTCGTAAACAACTTTCTTACAAATCTGTAAGAAATTGAACTTGCTTTATTATTGAACATTAACAACTTCCAGGCTCTTCCACTTTGTCTTGAGGTAAAGCGGATTCTGAATGCTCACGTAACTCTGTTTATTGTGTTTCACGACATGTTTATCACTTCAAATTACATTCTAGACTGAAGTATGAAATTTTTAAAAGAAGTCGATGAACGTAGTTCAGACTGTTATGTAGGTCGTGATGATTTGTTTCAGGCTCAAATTTAATTTTTCGCGGTTGGAATTTTTTCGCGGTTTGATTTTTTTAAATAGTTTCAGTTCATTTCTTTTGTTACAAAGACCAATTCCACTATCGAACAGCGACGTGTAAAGTGTAAAGGTCATGAAAAATGTGATCGACTTCTAATTTCGAAAACGGTATTTAATTATCCGTTTTCAGCGAACTAAAAACTATTGTTCCATTTTTCTCAAATTGGGTTATTTTTATCAAAAAAGTACCAATCATAAATTGTTATAGAAATTCAAAGAGCATTAAGGCAGTCTTTTTTTGGAAAATCAAAAGGTTGAGATTTTGTTTTCGTTTTACTTGCTTTCAAGGGTGAATGAACTTAGTTCAGACTCTTATATAGTTCGAGGTAATTTTTTAAGGAAAGTTCAGATAAGAATTTTGGAAAGATCCTTTGTTCAGGCTCAAGCTTACTTTTTCGTGGTTTTACTTATGGTTTCTTTGGATGTTCAGTTGATTTCCCTTGTTTAAAGGAAGGTAAACTACTATCGAACAGCGAAAGTGTGTAAACCACGAAAAACGTAATCGACTTCTTAAATAGAAGGTAGAGTTTAATCTTCAGATTTCTCAGCGAAGCAAAAGTTGCCCTGTGACCCAGTTTTCTCTAATTAGGTTGATTTGCGTGTCATAATAATTGATGAAATGCAAATAGTTTCAGCGTGATGTTTTCGGAATTTGAAATCTGTCTAAAGAAGTCCTTTTTTGCTTTTCGAAATTTTGGGTTTTTATTTTGCTTTACGGTTACGACTAGCAGCGGGTTTAAATCGGATTATAGACTCTGCATCTTGTATTAATATGGTAACATCTTATTTTAATAAATCACTTGATCATTTTGTAACTTGATTTATAACTATTTCAAATTAAAATCCTTTTCCGGCATAATTAATTCAGAAGTACCGACCATGCTTGAGACGATAACGATCTTAGTTCAGAGTCCGGCGAGGACCTGCTTTTTTCATGAATTTAAATTTTTTCGTTCAAAAAAAGTGACAGTCTTTTGTCAAACTATCGGTTGTCTATTTTTTAGAAGTTGAAACATCGCGTACTTTTCTTGTGCTGTAAGCAGTTTCATTGTAATTGAAATTGAGTTTATTTTTCCCTATAACTTATTAATTTACTTTCCTCTGATCTTGTATAGATTTTTTGGCTCGAAAGCGTTGTTTATGTTATTGTATTATGTGCCGTGTCGATGGGCATCGCTTGAAGTTTCGTCTGTTTGGTCTCATTTCGTTTTGAATTATTTAAAAATTTATGTTGAATAGTTCAGACATTAATACAGTACTTCAGAGAAGGTTGTTTGCTTGGTTTTGGTTGTTCACAGTACTGCCAGGGGAAGGTTGTTGGTTTCTTCGTATCGTCCAAGTCCCATACTATGGCCACCGCCGGGGTGCTTCTAGGTAGGTTGCAATAACTGAGACGTCCTGTCATTCTGGTTGCGGCGCCCGTTTCGGGGAAAGGAGGAAATGATATCAGACAAATGGGGAAATATATCGGAGCTATTGTGAGGGTGTCTAATGTCGTCTAAATCGTATCTGCGGAACACCAGATAGATGAAAGTTTTTGGTTTCATAGACTCAGCTATGATCCAGTTTTGAACCGTCACTAGTTATCAGGAGCGAGCTCGACTGATATGCTTGTAGGCTGAAACAACCTGAAAAAGGCAGAAGCCACGACTGGATTGGACCAAAGTCGAAAGCTTTATTCGGTCTATATGGTTTTGGCTAATGTTATATCGGCTAAATTTGCGCTGCCTGGTTGAATTTAGTGGCCTAAAATTAAATTGCTTCGTTTCAAATGAAAATTGGCATATTATTTTTTGTTTCCGGAAAAGGGGCGTAAAGTTTCAGGCGCAACGGGTATTTACTCAATTTTGTCGACTTTGTATGTCGCTCGATAATTGTTAACTAATACTTATTGAACGCCAGCGACGGTGTTACTTAACGTGTTTTCGTCAAGTTAACAATATTCGAGACAAACGTTGGATTTTGGTAGTTGTGTTTTTTCAATTTTTTGTTGACTTTGTGGCTTTGGTTTCATTTTTTAACCACTAGCCTGTAATGCGATGTTTATGTTTTGTCACAAGTGTTGCGAAACTCCATTTCGACTCTGTTTTCAATATGTTAAAAATGAAATGCAAAGTGATTTCAGTGTCCTTCAGTTGCTTCATCGTCCTGACAGATTACACAGGTTTATGTGTTTACTTTTTAACTCCAATGAAAACTGCTCTCAAACATAATGGAAAATGCTCTCAAAAATGAAAGTGAAGTGACTTCCTTTTGTGATGTAAATTGATTTTTTTGAAGATAACCCCTGTGGTGGAAAGATAATGATAGAAAAATTCTTTTAAACGTCCGAGAACAAGTGTATTCAATTCGGGAGGCAGATTTTTTTTCTAGTAAACAACTCTGCCATAACCATTTTCGGAAGAAGTGACCCGGAAAATATTGGTGAAGTAGAAGTGCAAGGCAATTTCCGAGGTGAATTTTGAATTTCCAGCTGACTGTGAACTTCTTTTGATGTTTGTGTTTTGTAGTCTTAGCTGCGATTTCGAAATTTCTGATTTATTTTGTGGTTATGTAGCTCTCGGTTCAATTAGTGGCGGCTTATTTGAAGGCCATATTTTTTCGTATTTAAGCTTTTTTGCGTTTATCTTTGTTATAAATAAGATCTGAGCTTATATGTAGAATTTACTCTATGGATTATCTAGACTTATTCATAGTTTTGCTGATACATGGAATTTCGATGAAAGTTGAATATCTGTATCTATTTAAAAAGATTTGTCTGGGGTTTATGGCTATGTTTTTTTGTGGACACTTTGTAGACCGAGTTTGCATACGCAGTCCTTTCATTTAATCCCTGATCTCCCTTTATTTGAAGAGCAACAAATTTGAAATAAAAAATTTCTGTTCGTTGGGAATTTTGCTTTCCTCATTCATTGATGTGTCAAATAAAAGTTTTAAGTAACTTTTTAATGTGTATAAAAGTCAATGAACATAGTGAAGACTCTTACGCTGGTCGTGAGGATTTTTATCAGCGGTTTGACTTTTGATTTGTTCTCAAGTTCAATTTATTTCCTTTGTTAAAAGGAAGGCAAACTCCACTATCGAACTACAAAAGTGTAAAAGCCACGAAAACTGTAATTGACTTCTAGTTTTGAAAGCTGGTTTTAATTTTCAGATTTACCCGCGGAATTTTTTTTACCTATTCATCCAGTTTTCTCAAATTGGGCTAATTTTATCAAAAAAGTATCCATCATAAATTGTCCTAGAAATTCAAAGAGCTTTAAGGCCATGTACATTTTTTGAACTTCGAAAGTTGATGTTTTTCAAAAAACAAGTCTGTTTTTTTTTCTTTACCCTTTTTCATTGTTTCTTTTCCAACTTTCAGTTGCCTATGTTTTCCTTCCTCTAGACCACCGAGTTGCTTTGTCTGGTATTTGAATCCAGGAATTCAATTATTGATTACTTTTCAACGAGGCTTTTTGTGCCGTGATTACTTGCTTGTCTCTGAAAATCGACGTTCTATCGAGTTGGCCGGGCTGAAATGTTTGAAGCAATTAACATTTATTGATGAAAGCGCCTTTATTTTCCATCAATACTCTTAAGCTTTTTCTTGAGTTCCATTGCCGTAATTGAATTCCCTCAGAACTCAATTGCGATTAAAGAGTTGTTAGAAATTTAGCATCTGAAGGACGGTTTTTGCTTACGTAATTGAAAATGTACTTAGTTTTACCATTTTAACTGTAAAGCTCTTTCTTGATGAAATTCACGGGGTTAACAGGGGTTGCAAGGTTAACCTTTGTTTTATATCAAGTCTTTTCCTGACTAATTTTAACAAGCATCTCATTGTGTTTTCCACAAAAAAGGCTGCTACTTCTTTTTAATTGCAACAATGGCGTTTTAAGATGAATTTTGGTTGCGAAAAATGAATGTCTGAAAATAGAATAACAGTTCACTGAACTCGCTAATTTTTTTTGCTGTTTATCCTCATAAATTATTTAATTTAGAATTTCCTGAAAAAACATTGAAAATACTATTTGAATTATATGCATTTTTCGGTGACAGGACAAAGTATCCCATACGAAAGTGTCCCATAATAAAATATCCCATACCAATATATCCCAATGGTCACAACAGCCCATGCCAATATAGCCCACCTCAATTAAATTATCCCATAGAGGATTAAACATTAATTTATGATATAGATTACCGAAGATTGGTGCTTATATCTATATCGCAATTAAAAAGAGACTCAGCTCAACTGCCTCAATTATTTCGAGACTCCACATAGAGATATTGCTAATGATAAAAGACTCTTTTCTAGGGATAAAATTTTTCAAATTTTTCATAGGGATAAAATTTTAATTGAGAAAATTTTGATAATGAAACACAACGCAAAGGTATATCATTACACACATAGCACCAATACAATGAACACCAGTATGACAGATTTTATCTACGGTAAAACTCAGCAAGGCAAAGCGTTACTTATCTTGGACGGACACGTGTGCATTAAAAAGAGAGACACCAAATCTACCACTCACTGGCGTTGTGCAAAATGGCGTTCACATAAATGCTCAATGACTCTTAAAACTTGCGACGAAACCATTATTTCGTTCAATCACAAGTATAGCCATGAGTTTAACCCCGGTCGCGTAGAAGCAAGGCAGCTTGTTAGTCAGTTGAGAGAAACAGCAAAATCGCAAATCAATCCTGTAAACAACCAGTTTATAGCAGCTAGCCTCAAGACTGTGAACGATAGTCCGGCAATTCAGCTTTCACTTCCTTCATGTGCAGCCCTGACAAGGACCCTAAATAGGAACAAAACGCAAGAACCACTCGAAGTGGTTTCATCGACCGACCGTCACTTCGACATTCCCGACAAATATTTGCCATTTTGTCTACATGATAGCTGAAAAGAAGACAGTGAACGATTCCTTCTTCGGAAAAGAAGACAGTGAAAAATTTCCGGATATGGAAATTTTAAATGCTCTTTGTGTTCATAGCAAAGTTTGAATTTGTGATGGAATTTTGAAGATATGCCCGTCTCAAGTATATCAATTATATACAGTACATATCCAGATTGGCGGCTTTGATCCCCCCTCCGCTTGCGTTTTGCTTAGCAACACAAAGGAGTCCACTTACAATAGGTTTCTTGAAGCCCTAATTAGCCTTTTTGGAACAAGCTGCCTTGAATGCATTTTCGTCCCTATATAAGACTGAAATCAATGCTGAGATAGCCGTAATCTCAAAAATGATCCCAGCTTTAAGCTTCGTTCCTGTCTAAGATGTCGAGTCTGCGTTTACTCTTGTCATAGACGAAATTTGTCAAACTTCCGATCAGTTCGACCTTCCAATTGATATCCTTGAGAAAATTGACGAGCTAGTATCATATTTCCAGAAAACTTATTTTAAAGGAGACAATTGGTCGACAACAGTGTGATCATTCCCCCCAAGCTCTATGGAATCATTACGGCAACATGGCAGCTAGTATCATTCGAACAACCAATCCAGTTGAAGGCTGGCATAACGGCGTTACGTCGCTTTTCCAGGTCAGCGACCCTTCGGTTCATACGTTTTCTGAAAGCAATCAGCGGTAACACCAATCAAACCCGTAAAAAGTACCGAGAACTCAATGAAAAAGGTCGAAGGATAACTAACTTCTACGAAAACTCAGATATAGTAAGTTATGTTCAAGCTGTGGCTCATTCAACACTCTGTCTCCTAAATTTCATTCTGTCAAATTTTCGGTATAATTCTCTCAAATTGTCCGCATTTCGATGCATTTTTAATTGATTTTCCAAAAATCCTTAAGTTTTTGGCTTTATAGCCATTGTAGAGGTACCGTTTTTTGGGTGGTGATAGAGGCCAATACAAGAATAATTTTGCCCTTTCCGTCACCCCGCCCTCACATTCGGGTTACCCAGTACAGGGGGTTAGGGGTTTAGGGAACAATTTTTATCGATTTTCAACTAAAACTTCTGATCCACTGTGAATCGATCGTTTGATCTTTTGACCAAGAGTCAGTCTTTTGCCATAATTCCAAGTGAGCTTCGAAAGTCATATCTTTATGCTCTTATAGTTCAAAAGATTGGTAGATTTAAAACGTGCGTAGAAATTTTCACTCTTTGAACTGAATTTAATTTTAATGAAAAAAGTTACTTAAAGTTCGGAAATTTAATTCGAAAATAAATTAGACAGTTCGGTTGAGACGTATACAAAAATAGGCAAGTCTTTTTTTTGCAGCAGGCTTGAATTATTTCCCCTTTTCAAGCAAATTGGCTTGTGGGAGTTACGTTTGCATTTCGGTGTCCTATTTTCTGTGATCAAATATATAATTTGTGATCAAACTTAACTGAACACACTATTCTTAGGTCCTTTGGTTTTTCAGCAAAAAGTCTATTTTCACGCTCAAATTTTTTGTTTCTATTTGAATTTTAACCAACTGATTGACCAAATGGGAAAGCGGAAACGGCCCAAAAAATTTAAATTTTAAATGACATAAGGTTTCGAAATTGAATTTAAATAGGATTTTTCGCGACTTGATTTTTGAGCTTCATGTAAGTTCATTTCAAATTCGTTTGCTGAAAGAAAGACAAACTCCACTGTTGAACAGCAAAAGTATAAAGGTCACAAAAACATCAGATTTCTCCTCAGCTAAATAAAAGTTCATTTAATGATCCAATTTTTTCAAATAAGGTTAATTTTATTAAAACATTGCCATTCTCCATTCATAATTAATTTTTGAACTTCTAAGAGCTTTAAAGTGATGTTTTTTTCACCAAAATTTGAAAGTTCGAATACTGTTCAAAAAGTCATTGAACTTTTTCCAACTGTCTGTTGGATGAACAGACTGTAAGAAAGTGTCAATGATTTTTGAACGGTATTCAAACTTTCAAATTATGAAGACGTTTGGTTTGTTATAATTTGAAGGACCTAAAAGTGCGATCAACTGTAAACCTGTTTTGTTTCAGACGCCCTACTTTTGGCCTTCAAACTGTTGGGAACCGGAGAACACAGACTATGCAGTGTACCTGTGCAAGCGGACAATGCTCAACAAAACCAGACTGGAACTGGCGGACTATGAAGCAGTAAGTTGTAATCACAGTTATAACTAGAGAAGTTATAATAAACCAGGCGTGAGAGAAGAGTAATAAGCAGTGTCAGAAAATTCGAAGTGGCCTCAGAAAGGAAAATGATAGTTGCTGTGAAGACTACCACGTGCCATTGCTACGTAGCGGCCTTGTTGAAAACTGACGGCGAATTGTTTCTTGTGACGGTGGTGATTTTTACTCGAAAATCTCAGTTCTTGAAAAAAGCGAGTACGATAGCAAAAAATTGGCCGGGGAAAATTTGATTATGATGATCATGTTTTTCATTGAAACAAAAAAAAACAAAAGTTAGTTCATTTTTGAATGCTTGTTCTTTTCGTCTCATTTATATTTAGGCAGTTTGATACCTTTGGGTTGTCGTGGAGTTGTTGGACTTGCAAACTCCTGCTTGGTCCTGTTTGGTACAATGTAATAATTATTAGCTTGTTGGGTGTATGTTGCAATAAGGACATTTTTGAAGTGTTTACGGTGTTGACAAATTGCATTTATTGATTTATGTTTCAGGAGAGTCTCTCGAAGTTACAGAAAATGTTCAGTCGCAATTGGGAGTTCATTTTCATGCAAGCAGAAGCCCAGGCCAAGTACGAAATGTTGATTTGAATAAATATGAGCCGCTATTCTTTGCTGCAAATTTTTTTAATGAAAAACCATGCTAAATAACATTGAAATACGAAATGATCGTGAAATTGTTTCAAATATTTGTATTGGTTAGAAACTAATGCATTCGGGGAATATCCTTTAGGTGTGATAATCCGAAAATGGCAAACGATTTAAGAGCTTCCGTTATTTATGACATGATGTTTTGTTATGATATTTTTCTTGTTTTAGGGTCGATAGAAAACGAGACAAAATGGAGCGCAAAATTTTAGACAGCCAAGAAAGAGCTTTTTGGGATGTCCACAGACCTATGGTATGTTGATTGTTTTTTAGACAAATATATTAGATAATGTAATTAGTTCAAGGTTTTGAGGTTTTTTCTTGAAAATTTGTGTAGTGTAATACAGTCCATCTACTTTATAAAATCAAATTAGCTGATTTTAGTGCAACGTTTTGCGCTAAATGCACAACATATGATTTAGTTATATCACTGATATCTAATAATCAACTAATCGTGATATTAGTTTAATCACCTAAGTGACTGCAGCTCTTGAGGTTCGGATTCAAATCCCGTAGTATCAGGTTTTTTTTTACACAAGCAAAGCGTAGTGTATTACTACAAGGCTGCTTTTTGTTTTTCAACCTAAAACACAAATGTTAGTGCTATTTTTGTTGTTTTTGAAATGTTAGTGACACTTATGCAGCACGCGGCATTGGCAGTTTCTTAGCCTGTGCTTTGAAAATCGAAATGTAATAAGTTGAATCATTTGATGGGTTTTTAATTGATTAATTGAACCAAAGAATGCTATTTGTTTCATAAAACAGAACAATAAAAAAACTCCATTTTTTTAATTTTCCGATATTTTTAGCAAAAAAATTCGGCGTTTTAATTTCCAATTTATTACGTGCAAAGTTTATTTTCGGTGGCATTTTTCCTGCAGACCAATGGCAGTTTGTTCGAATCTGTTGCTGCTTATTGGTGGTCAGGGTTAGAATAATTTCAAGGGCTCGTGTCGCAGATGCGAGGACGATAGACTCGAAACCTCGAGGTTGAAGTTTCGAATCGAATGCAATTCCTCGCTTGTGTTTGCAAGTGCAGCTTCGCCTCTAGGTGAAGTATTAGTTTGAATTTAGTGTTTTGTTGTACTTTGCCGTTATAAGTGTCAATGATCGAAGTGAAACCCATTATGAACGTTCATGACACCAAGCAAGAACGCTGATCCAAACAGAACGTAGTATTCAATCAACCCGTTTTGACGAGCGCGTCCAATGCAGTGAACGGGCTCACAAAAACAAAATACCTAATTTGGTCGTGTTTTTCTTCCGACCGTTGAAAATGGGGAGGAACTTTATAATCGGGTGTGAGTCGATGAACGAAGACTCTTATATAGGTCGCGATGAATTTTTTGTTCTGTTTTTTTTTTCAGGAAAAGTCTAAACACTTTTTCAGAATTAAGTTTACTTTTTCGCTGTTTGACTTTTGAATTCTTCTTTAGTTCAGTTCGTTTCCTTTTTTTAAAGGAAGGCACGCTTTTTTTATCGAGCAGCAAAAGTGTAAAGGTCACGAACAACGATATCGACTTCTAATTTCGAAAACGGAATTTAATTATCAGGTTTCCCAGCAAAATAAAAAATTTAACTATTGATTCAGTTTGCCCCAATTGATTTAATTTCATCATTTTTTTGAAAAAGTGTCAATCATAAATTGTTCTTGAATTTCAAGAGCTTTAAGGCCATCTATTTTTTCCTCGGAAAATCTAAAATTAGATTTTTTCAAAAAACAAGTCTGTAATTTTTCCTGTTTACCTTCGTTCCTTGACTACAAATGTTTGTTGGCTATGTTTTCTTTTTTTAAAAAGTCGTTGAACATAGTACAGACTGACAAAGATCGTGATGATTTATTTTTTCGTTTTTTTTTTCAGTAAAAGTCTCAAAGGTTGTTCGGGCTTAACTTTTACTTTTTCGCCGTTTGACTTTTGATTTTCTTTTCAAGTTCGGTTCATTTCCTTTGTTCAAAAGATGACAAGCTCTTTTATCGAGCAGCGAAAGTGTAAACATTACGAAAAATGTGATCGACTTTTAATATCGAAAATGGAATTTAATCATCAGATTTTCCAATGAAATAAAAATTTTACCTATTGATCCAGTGTTTCTCAAATTGGTTTAACCTAATCAAAACGATGTCAATCATTAATTGTTCTAGAAATTCAAAGAGCTTCAAGTTCATCTATTTTTTCGTGGAAATTAGAGATATTGAGATTTTTCAAAAATCAAGTCAGTGTTTTTCTGTTTACTTGCGTTCGTTGACTTTTTTTTCCAACTGTCGTTGGCAATGTTCCTGTTTTCTACGCAAAATCAGGAGCCACGAATGTTCATCGGAATGGCTCGAGTAAAATATAATTCTAAAGCCTTTGCAGTCACGATTCGAAAGGTATTAAAAGTTTGCCTGAAATTTTCTCAGTGTGAAGAAAAACTTATTGTTGATGTTTACTCTGTTTTCGAGCCAATATAGTGAGCGAGCAGGTTTACTTTTTTTTCAACCAAATTAAAATCCTTCCGCCCAGATTCGAACGACCTACGAAAGTTGTCCCAGTGTCGAGAAAAACAGGCTCAAATTTCGAGCCTGCAGGCTTCTTATAAACGAATAAGCCGTGGAGCTTCAATTTAACTAATTTTTTTTTCGTTTTTCTAGCTCCGTCATGGGAATAAAAACTTCAAATTTTCATAAAACTGCAATTTATCCTTTTTGTTTTCTTGTCCTTTTTTTCTACACAAAATTATGCCATGCTAGCCTATTTTTACTGTGATTATTAAAATTTCTAAGTTCCAGCTTTCGGTAGATTTTTTAATCACATCAAGCTCAAAAAACGGAAATTCACGAATTAATTATGTTTCGAAAGTGGAGATTAGTTTTTGCAGCGTAATTTTTTTCAAAATCTACTAATGTCTCAAATTAACAGTCTAAACAGGCAAATTAACTGGGGAATTAAAGTGTGCTATCTCCTCAGTTCATTTGATCTTTGACGGGACTTTTTTTTAACTCTAAAGTTTTACCAGCCGAACATAGCTTGACTTAAATGTTCGAAAAGGCGAAAAATATCAAGACATGAAATTGGTAGGCAGTTTATCTTGAACAGTACATCTGAAACTAAACGAATGCGCAAAACAAATAAAACAAAGTAGAATCCTAAACACAAATTTGGAAAAGAAATCAATTGATAGAATTCCTATTGATAGATCCAGTAACTGTATTTCAGATTTTTCAAAATCTAATATTAGTATTTTTTTTCATTTTATTACAAGTTTTATTTGTATGCATGCCGGTGTAATTGTTGATTTTCAATTTATTAACTCTGCGATAGCAAGGGTATTGCAATCGGGCACTAGATTTTTTTTTCGCGTAAACATCTTGTACCTTGGTTGAACCTTGAACATTTGAACCTTGGTTCATAATGAATTCTAATTTTGTAGTGTTTCGTGCAAACTTAGTCTGGTGGTAACGAATACGACTGGGACGGCAAAGGTCCTGGGTTCGAATCTGACCAGTACCAGTTTTTTTAAACGGTTAATGTTCCGGTTCAAACAAATTTCGGTCTATTATGTGTATGCTTATGTTTTGTCTGCTTAGTTGCCCTATCTAAGAATCGTTTATTTTAGCTGTAAACAACTTGCACTGCAATTATTTTAAGCATTTTGAAAATCGGTCGAGCCGAAATTTGCTTTTAAATTTGTAGTTCCACCAGCTCAATTTATTTAAGTTTCACTTAATTTTTTATATTGTTTTGTCTTTTTTATCGGCCTAATAAATTTAGGCTTGATAATTTTCGGCTTAATTAAAATCGGCTTAGTGGCCTCTTATTGCGTCGTTGTGTCCGAAAAAGTTTTTGTGCGCGTGCGTGTGCTCTGAGGTGAAAAGGGACTTGTTATAATTTAAGAGCTTTTCTGCATGAAAGGTTTCTGCTCCACTTTTTTTTGGCTTTGTTACCGCCGCTTGGCAACTATAAATTCAAATCCAATCAACCATCAGGTGCATCTGGCGTAGAGGTAAAACAACTGCTTCAGATGGCAAAGATTTGCGGTTGGAATCCGGCCAGGCTCTTTTTTGCAAACTAGACTTTTTGTCGGCTTAGTCCCCGTAGCTCCATGCTTCAGCTTTATTATAAGTTGCTGTAGTCCTCATGCTTGAGACGCACAGGCAGGGAGTTCGATTTCAGTTGCGACTTGTTTTTCTTGGAAACAAAAAATTTTAGTTGATTCAAATTATTGTCTGTCTGCTTAATTTTGTCAGCTTATTTCCGCAGAAAGGACTTTTTTTTGAAAACTTGACTTCTATATAGCATTCTCAAAGCTCGTTGTAGAGTTTCTAATGGTGTAGGCAATTTTGTTCCGGATATTTTTATCGACAAAAACGATTTTTCGAATTTTTTTTTTTGATTTTCATAGTCATTCATGTTTGTATCGCAAATGGTGCGAAGTTCAGCTTTGCCTGTGTATTAATTTCATTTTTAGCAGTATGTATGTTGAACCAAGTGGTTATTTCGAATTTACATGTTTGACAAAAAATTGAGAAAAACTTTCACCCAGTTTTCTCTAATTGGCTTAATTTTCTGAAAACAGCTCCAATTGTAAATGATTTCGGGAATTCAATGAGTTTTTTTTGGTTTAGTTGACATCATTGGCATTATTTCATTTTTCTGATGACTATGTTATGACGTTTGTAGGGCTTATTTTTGCCGTTTCATCGCTTGATTTTGCAAAGTGCAACTTCGCTTTTGTGTTGATTTTAATTGACACTGAATTGTAATGTTTCAGCCCGGCTCAGTGAACACAACGGAAATAGATATCAGGAAGTCGTGCAAGCTACACAAACCTCTCAAAACACGCAAAGTGAGTAGTAGTTTACACGCTCTAATTTTAAGGGGAGTGAAATCGGTTACTAATTAATTATTTGTTTCGAACGTCGAAGTTCGATTAAATTGTTTTCCTGATTTATTTTACTGAAAATTTTCACAGCAGTGCCTTAAAGTTTTTAATGAGTCATATAGCTGTGTCACCGTTTAATTTTTGGCGATTAACACGAACATTAGAAAAATAACTTCTAATTATTCAAGTTAAGGTAATCTACGGATATAGAATAGGGCCTGTTTTCGTATAGATCCGACGTATCTGTCTCTTTAAGCCCTCGTTTGATTACAAAAATAGAGATCGCTTCGCCCTTGGGTCACCTATTGGAAATAGAACTAGAAATTTGGTTCCCCTGCTCGTCTCACTTTCCCTGTGGCTCGTCATATGCTATTTTGCTGCTTAAATAGTCCGAAAAAGGAGATATCATTTGACCTTTTATTGTGTAGATTAAACACTCTTTTGGGCTATGTCAAATTATCAGCAAACGAGTTATTATATCTAAAAGTAATACGAGTACGAGGTAAGTTTTATATTAATATACAATCATTAAGTGCTTCAAATTGATCAGTAAATAAGTTGAATTGAATGAGCTATTTCAATAAATCTTTTTCTCGTTAGATCTTTACGAATGCCAAGAGCAGAAAAAAAACGGCTCTAGGCGTTTTCAGTTTCCCTAATCGATTATTGGTTTACTTTGATAAATAAAACAAAATTTAAAGAAAACACCGAAATTTAGCAAAAATGTACATGCAATACTTTAAACAAAATTATAGAGTTTAAGAGCTTATTAAGTAAATCAACAATTCGCTATATTAGATTTAAGTTTAGCTATAATAAGAACCTATTATCTTTGATTTATCACTAAGACGAAGAAGGCCAAAGAGTTTAGAAAAGTTATTTTTGGGCAACTGGGGTTATTTATTTACCTTGACTATCGTCCATCATCCTTTTTGACGTAAAAGCTGAAAGTGGGGAATTGCCGATGTATTTTTGATGGAACATTTGGTAAACCTCAACAATGCTTGAAGGGTCTATTTAAAAAGTGAGAGAGTGTTTTATGGTGATTGTTGTGTACTAGTAATTGAATTAAGTTCTATTTTGGGCGAGTCTGAATAAACCAGCCGAAGTAAAAATGAACCGAGCATTAGCAGAGTGTATACAATAGCTGAAAGTTACGTAATTCTGGTTGAAATTAACTTTTTTTCAAGTGCTGCTTGAGCTTTAATCATGTATCATATAACTACTCTTGCATATTTACCATTAACAATGAGAAATAATTTCTTCTTCTACCCAGAAACTTCGGCTGTTTCATGTGTTCGCTAGTTAGGATTTCTTAAACTATCCCTCCCCCTTCGGTAACTAGTAACAAATTGCCACCCCTATAATCCCTATTATGAAGTAAATTCAACGCTTAAGCATTTGAGAATTTTGTACTTGGTAACGAATATCTCCTCTCCCCACTTTTGCTAAAGGGTGGGGGGTAATTAAAGAGATCAGCTGGTTAGTACTTCGGTTAATTAATATACTACCATTTTGTGCTCTCTTATGGTTGGTTTGTAATTTCGTGTGTTTATTTGACTAGGCCAACTACAACGTCCCAGGAGGCAGACTTAGTCCCTCTCTGTTAAACAAAAAGAACAGTCTAGTCAACGGACAAGCATCATCTCCACACACTACAACAACAGCAACAGCAGACGACTCAAATAACAACCAGGTCGGTATTACACTACTATATGCTGTATGTTATCTACCAAAAAGATCTGAAGTTACGATAGTTAATTTTAAAATCTGAAGTTACCATAGTTTCAAGATCTCCTCTTTAACTACAGCTAAACTGCGAATGCTCCGTTCTTGGTAAATATGACGACAGGACATTAAGACGACATGACATTAAGAAGACAAATGAGTGTTAGTACATATAAAAATAACTGTTTGAGTTGAAACGGTTTGTTTCTCTGAAATACAATTGGAGAGCTTGCGTGTAGCGTCGTCTCAAAGTCACATCAAAAACGGTTGTCGTCTTAACAGCTGTCGTCTTAACAGCTGTCGTCTTATTTGCCGGTCAGGTTTCAATTCAACTTTTAAGCTTTGTTATTGTTATAGAATTGCTTCTCTGATAAAGATAATAAAGAAATTATAAAATTAATTTTTGCCTCAAGTTTCTGTATTAGGAACTGGTTTCCAATTTTTTTTGATAAACTTGTGCTTAATTGGAGAAAGTTTTAATCCTCGTTTGCGATCGCGTCCACAGTTGCTTTATTCCAAAATTGATAGTTGTTTTCCAGAAACAACTGCATTTCCAGATTCATGTCTTGAAATGATAGCTCAACAATAAATCATGAATCAATAAACGAACGGCACAACCGCCTAAACAAATAATGAATGTATTTACACACGCCAATTCAGTGTTTTTTTCCAGGTATCAACCACGTAATTTGGCCTTGTTTCTTCGAAATAGAAACTCCAATTATTTGCAATTTATTGGTTTGGTAAAATTTTTAATTGAAATAATTGGATGTCTTAGAATTGATTAGATCAAATAATTTTCCATCAATTAATTTTTGAAAGGCCCTGATTTCTATTGTCGTATTTTCAACAGCATATGCTAAATCAGCTTAATTAAAGCTTTCATTTCTCTGTTGGTTATGTAGGCAAAGTTAATTATCTTAAATACGAGTTATAATGGCGATTGATTCTGGCTGGTACCACATAGCTTTGATTAATTGCTTTCAAAAACCATCTTCAGGTCAGCATTTTTGTTTCTGTTTTTGCTGGCGTATCCGAAGTCCTACTTCGCTTCGGCTTATATTTTGTATCTAGTTAAAAATTATTTGTGTAAACATTGCAGCCTCAGTTTGTTAATTGGGAAGCAAGTTACAGTGCTGATTAAAATTATCCGACAAAGGAATCAAATTTGAAAACTTAAACGTTTTTTTTTCTCAAATTGGGTTGACCTTAGACTAAAATTTAAGCATCAAACAATCATGCTTGTCAAAAATAACGCGAAAGCTAAGTTCAATTGCTGTCAAAACAGAGTGAGCCTTTATGTAGCCTAACAAAGTTTAAGAAAGGTATATTCTGCGAAATGGTGCAAAATGTTTAAAAAATGGTTTTTAAATTTCTAAACTAGACATTGGTATTTTGTAGTAAAAATGACATTTTTTGGCTATCAAACGAAAATATATTTTCTGATATGAAGTTGAGAAGATTATAGACGTTAATTTTTGTTGTTTTACAGAAGTGGCTCACTGGGATTTATGTTTTTCAGCAATTTAACCGATAGATTTGCAGTTGTTTTCGATCGATTTTGGCGATCGTTTTGGATGTAAAATGTGTTGGCCCAAATTTTGCTAAAAAATTGCATGTTATAGTTCTGCTAAATTTCTAAGTAAATTATGTCGTCATCATTAAAAAGGCTTTTTAGTTTCAAGTTTTATTTGTCAAGTTTTGTCCGGATAGCATTTAAAATAAACACTGTATAATATGTCAATGACCTTAGTAAAAACTCTTATATAGGTCGTGATGTTTTTTTCGTTTTTTTTTAAAGAAAATATTTTTGTTCAGGTTAATTTTGATCTTTTGCTGCTTGATTTTTGATTTCAGTTCATGTCCTTCAAGGTAATTTGCTAAATGGAATATAAATTACGCTCCCCAATATCCAAAGGGCAAATGGTGCGAAAAGAAGTGATTGGCTTTGATGTTTCGAAATTGGATTTAAATGAGATTTTTCGCGATATGATTTTTGAATATATTTAAGTTCAATTCCAGTTGATTTACCAAAAGAAGGCAAACTACGGTCTCCAATATCAAAAACGCAGATGGTGCGAAAAACATGAAAGACGTTAAGGTTTGAAGTCGGATTTAAATACGATTTTTCGCTATTTGATTTTTGATCTTAATTTGAGTTCAATTCGAATTCATTTGTTAAAAGGAAGCAAACTACGCTCTCTCCAATGTCAAAAGAGCAAATGGCGCAAAAAACGTGAATGAATTCAATTTTCAAAATTGGATTGATAATTTTTTTCGCGATTTGATTTTTGTTATTCATTTTAGTTCAATTCAAATTCGGTTGCTAAAACGAAAGCAAGTTACACTCTCCAATATCAAAAGTGCAAATGGTTCAAAAGTCAAAATTGCAAATTTAGTTTAAATTTGTTTTGTTTGCGATTTGGTTTTTGATCTCATTCAAGTTCAATTCAAATTCATTTGTTAAAAGGAGGGCAAAACTACCCTCTCCAATTGCGTGAGCGGAAACCGTGCAAAAGACGTTAATGACTTGAAGTTTCCAAATTGGATTTAAATCAGATTTTTTTTGCAATTTGATTTTGGATCCTAATTTAAGTTCAATTCGAATTCATTTGCCAAAAGAAGGTAAACTAGGCTCTCCAATATCAAAAATATTAATGGTGCGAAAAAAAGGCGAATGATGTTTCGAAATTGGATTTAAATGTAATTTTTTGCGATTTGGTGTTTGATCTTAATTTAAATTCGATTCAACTTTATTTGCTAAAAGGAAGGACATTTTAGGGAGAGATTAAATCCAATAGCGAGAGAGGGAAATGCGTGAAAAAACGTGAAGAAAAATTGTTTGCTTTTCAGGATACCGGGAGTGGAGGCGGAGCACCAGGCAAAAAGACATCGGTATCGGGATCCCCTCCGATGAGTGGTGTGGATCTGGCAGCCAGCTCCTCGGAGGACCTGCACCAGATGAGGGATCTCCTCAAGCATAGACTGAATAAAAGTCACGTCAAGATGTCAAAAGTGGCAGATTTGTAAGTGTTTATACAGTGTTTTGAAAATCTCGGGCAAAATCATTTTTGTGTCAGAATGTTATAAAATTGCTGTTCTTCTGCCTGAATAACTGTTGTACAGCAATCAGACTTGTTGGTATCGGAAATAGATTCTATTCCGGGTATTTTAAATACTGAAATTTTTTCAGAACGCGGGTCAACGAAATTTGTTATTTTTTGGCGCTATTAAAAAAGATTACTCGACCAAAATGGAAAACTGTAAACTAGTATCAAGACGAGATATTAGGTAGTGAGGTTGCCGAATACCTGAATAGCGGGGTTTGCGGCGCACTGGAAATCTTCCTTCATTCAGCTACTTTCAGTAGCGGTTTTAGGGGGTACACCCCTCCCTTCAGGGATTCGATGCTCTAACCGCCCAAGAGGGCCCCCATTTGGTACCATTTTAAGACCTACCATTTTAAGACCGGCCTTTGGTGCCAATATATAAAAAGATGAGTGCCCCTCGAAAATAAACGCTGTTTTTTGGTCAAAATCTTCAAAAAAGTACCTAAAAAAGTCTTCTTTGGCCTGTTTTTTATCTTCAATTATTCGCCTGCTGGCACAGCAAATTTAAAATTTAGGAAAAATCGGTTCATTATAGGGATTTGGGAGAGCTAAGAAAATCAATTTGTTCGACCTACAAAATTCGACCAGACTCCTCCCGATCACCCTAGATACTCGATAAAATCTTAGATCCGCCTCTGGCTACTGTTCAGTATGTTTCGAAAGTAGTTTTCTATAGTTGTCTGGGTTCATTCATACTTGTGGGATGGTTTATGCTTTTAGCTCTGTTTTTAAGTTTTCAATTGAGTTGTTTTATGTATATTAAATTATACCGCTATAGCTTAAGTAAGATAAAAAAAATCGTTCCAACCGAGTTTGTTTCAATTTTCATTCATTGGAATTAATAAGTGTGTTTAATTAAGCGTCCATAACCAAATTATTACTGAGAACACATGGACTAGACCGTTTATTGTTTTCTGAATGTGAGAACACAAATGTCTGGATGTCACAAATGTTTGCAGGAAGTTATTGTTGTCTGAAATTGATCCCTGTTGAACCTACAATACAAATTGTTTCTTATGTTTGCATGCTTTTTCGGCTAAATCTGAGACATTATGATGAAGAGATAATATGTTCAGAATGTTCAAATTGAATATCCGGACGATTTTTTTAATAAATAAATTAGCGAGAGCAAGTGTCTTCGGGGAAACAGTCTTTTTCCATTATGCAGCTTTCATTACAAATCTGTTAGAAATTGAGTTTGTTTAATCTTGAAATATCAATTACTCTTGAGTAACTTAACAATTAGTGTATTCAAAAAGCGCCTGTTTGAGGTTTTACTGGTCTGGGGCTTGAGTCCCGAACGGATGTTGTTTTTCCCCCTTTGTAAGTATTAAGGTCTTTCATTTTTTTCGACTTATTGGTGTTCGCATCAATTCGTCTCTGCTTAGTTTCCATTCTTTTTCGCTAGAGATCAGTTAAGTCGCTCTTTTTTATATGGGTTTAGAGTAATTGTTATGTAACGATCGTACTTTTGAGTTTGTTTTTTTTGTCGACAATTTTTTGGTTTCCTGGAGTCCAGTTTGCGAGTGAAGCTCTGGCTGTTCAGTTTCTGAATTTTTTTTATTTACATGATTTACGTGTGCATTTAAGTGGCGTATTTGGAACCTTGTAAGGCTTTATTTTCAAAATCATGCGCTTTGCTTTTTTGGTTCTTTAGGGCGTGAAAATTGATTTCTATGCCTTTTGGTTGTCGGCGTTTAAAATGTGGGCTCGGTTCCCTTGTGTAATCTCTGATTTTGTCATGTTTTTTGAAGTTTTGAACGTCATTTTCTAATTTCAAAAAAATTAGAACACTGACTAACATAGAAAAATCTGCATTGTAAAGCGTATACGGAAAATCTTATCCGAAGTTGTATGAAATCCCTGATTAGAAAAATTTTAATTGAAATTTTGTTCGGCATCCAATTTGACCTCAAATAGTTTTTAATGTTTCATTCGCAAGGCTTGATGTGCAATCATACATATTAATGCATTCGTGAATGCACTAAGGTATAGATGAACTTTTTGAGTTCAATTTAAAATCATCTACTGAAACTTAGGTAAATTGCACCCTCCAAAGGCGATCATTAAATTGGCGCCTAAGGAAACGTGAACGACTAATTAAAAGTGAAGTTTAATTTTTAGACTTCCCAGCGGAATAAAAACTTTCCTATTGATCCAAATTTCTCTATTTGAGTTGATGTATTAAGAGTAATGAACGCTAGTGAGTACTCTATGTCTTGTGATTTTTTTCAGGTTCGAGCTCAATTTTAATTTTTCGCGGTTTGAATTTTGTTTTTCTTAAATTTTTTTAAGCAAACTCAACTATCGAACAGCAAAAAGCAAAAATGTAGAGGTCTCAAAAACGCGATGGACTTCTATTTTAAAAAATGCAATTTAACTATCAGATATAAAACCTCCGCGAAATTAAAACTTTACCTATTGATCCTTTTTTTCAAATTGGGGTAAATTTATGTTCATAAAATTAATTTCAAAAAATTCCAATCATAAATTATTCATGAATTTCATCGAGCTTGAAAACTATTTTTTTAATTTTAAAATTCGAAAGGTGAAGTTTTGTCAAAAATGAGTCAGTTTTTTTCTGTTTCCTTTCGTTCATTCACACTTTTCCACCTTTCCGTTGGCATTGATACTGTCTGGTTTATTGGCTATGGTATAGAATAAACTAAATGCCTCATCGGCGAACTTGGAAATTAACTTGGCATTACAAGTGTTGCAAAGCTCTGCACCTCTGTGTTAAAAATTGTTTGATGAAAAAAAGTAGGATTAAACAAGATCTCAGTGGATTTTTTCATGCTGACTCTAAAATGAGTCTTTAGTTTAATTAAAATCATGTTACGCACAATTTTCACATTGAAAAATCAAATTGACTTATCGTAAGTGAATTGGTAAGTATGTGGTCAATTATGAGGTTATTGTTCAGTCCACGTCAATAAGTGATTAGAAGATGCTGCTGTTGTAATTCTACGAGCTCAGATGATTTTGTGTCTTTAGCTTTTTTTTTGAGTTCATTGACGCTTTTCCAACTTTCTGTTGGATATTTTTGGTTTCCAAATTGTTTTTATATTTTGCAAATTAAAGAGGTCGTGTTTTGATCAAATAAGAAAACATCGCATTACTACGTCATAATCCCTGTTTCTTTATCTTTCCGACCTCGTGTGAAGCAGAGTTTCTCAATCTGGCTTAATTTTTCTTTCCAATGAATACACAAGTAGTTGAATCTCATTCTTTATTCAGAGGAAGCTTAGACAAATAATGCACTGCGATTACTGGTTACTTTGTTCTCCCACTTTTATTTGTCGTGCTAATTGCATAAATTAACAAGGATAACCGGTTGCGGTGCAAAAAGCAAAGATTGTTCCAACCAGGTTCATAAAAACACTACAAACAAACATTTTCTCCTTTTTTTTCAAGTTAAGTGTTCTTTTTTGTCTGTTGGTGGCGAAAGAACTATACAAAAATGTAGAGCGTGAGTGAATTAAGCTTAGCTTACAGCATTTGACGTTGAAAATTGATTAAAAAAAACAAAATGAAAAATTTTCAAAACAAATTTCTGGTTTTTTTGAAAATTACAAATTTACAACTTTTTCGTGCCAAGAAAGCGTTAAATGAAGATTCTAACACCCGTGTTTTTTTAAATTAAAATAAATTGTTTGACCAGTTTACATAAGGAACGTTACTTGATCACACTACCTACTCGAAATTAGGCTAGTTAGACTTCGAGCCAGTTTTTCTTGACACTGGGACAAGTTTTTGAAAGTGTTTTAATGTCGTTTGGTTTATTGCTGGAAGGGTGTTAATATGACATGTAAAGATAATCTTTCTTTGCAACAAGTTTTACCAAGGTTTAATTCAGACTTTCCATTGGTATGTTACAAATCGCAGTGACTTTAAGGATCAATTTTGACTTATTTCTTGATTTATCATAGTGCGGGAAAGTTGGGCGCGAGACGAGTTGGGCTCAAGTCGAAGTATTTTCCGAGTCGAACGAAAAAACGGGTGCGAGTGCACTAGCCGGGTGTTCAAATGTCCCGTACAACGTCCTCACGGTCACGACTCGAGTAGTCCCATCTCGTCCAGGATGTTCTGCTGTGACTCGTCCCTTTGGTCTTATTCCTCGCGGCGTCAGATCTTTCAAAATCCACACATCTCCCCTTTTTAGCGGGTGTTCTGTGAAGTTCCATTTTGTTCGCTTCAACAGGGTCGATAATTATTCTTTTTATTGTGTCTTCGGAGATGTGGTTGAGTAGTAGTTGTTGTTGAGACCAATCTTCAAAACGGAGTGGTTGTCGATAGTCAAAAGTTCTAGGTGGCAGATTGATAAAAGGACGTTGAATTTTAAAATGATTCGGGTAAAGTGGTTCCTCATTGTCTGTGATATCAGCAACGTTTGTCAGAGGTCTTGAGTTTAACATTGTTTCTGTTGCCGAAAGATTGGTATTGAATAGGTACAGCGTAAGCTTTTTAGAGCCAAGAATAATTGAAATTGTGCGTTTGGTGATCTGGATTAGTCGCTCCCAGGCCCCACCAAAATCAGGATCAAAAGTCGGGTTGAATTTCCTTTCAATTTCTTTGACTGCTAGCTTGTTTTCGATTTTGTTCTTATCTAGTTGTTTGAGGCATCTCTTGAGCTCATTACTAGCTCCTACAAAAGTCTTCCCATTGTCAATGTAAATTGTTTTAGGACTACCTCTGCTGGCTGTAATGCGGGCAAGTGCGTTAAGAAAGGTATCAGTGTTCAAATATGGGCAAGACTCCAAATGAGCTGCTCTAGTTATCAGGCAGTTGAAGATGATAGCGTAGTATTTCTGTTTTCTTTCTGTTTTTAATGAAGATTGGTCGGAAGAAATCTATTCCTGTGCTGATGAAAGGTTAGTGAGTTTTTTTTCTGTGGAAATCTTGAACCGTTTGCATATAAAACATTTAAAACGTACACTGCGTAGAGCCAGTCGTACACCAATAATGTAGTAGCGTTGCTGTATGAAGTATATGACAAACTCTGATCCTTGATGTACACAAATTTGATGTGCGTGTTCAATGTACAACTTCTTTATTGCATTTTTTAGCGTTCAATATTATCGGAAATCTTGCATCTTCTTTCATACAAGGTGCAAACTCAAGACGACTTCGAGCACTTAGAACAGTCTTTTTGTCCAAACAGCGATTCAATTGAATCAATTTGTCCTTTTTGTCAATTTTGTTTGTTTTTTTTTCTAAACTTTTGATAGTATTGGAAGACGACTGAGTCTGACAAATTTTAATTGCGTAAAGCTTGTCTTTTTCAGTATCCGCTGTGTTGCATAAAGATCGTGCATTTTCGTCACTGAACAATGGGTTTTGATTGGTTTTTCTTTTGAGAATCCGAAGTTGTATTTTGGAAATGAAACTCATGACTGTAGTAAGAGTTAAAATCAGCTTGTTTTATATAGAAAATCGTTTATTGTCAAAAATTGGCTCATTCAGAGACAATTTTTTTTGCTTGGTCTGTCTTTGAAAACTCGCAGCAACCGCAGTTGTTGCAAGCGAAGTTTTATCCTGCCACAGATGCTTAGGTTGTTTCGAGAAGACTGGAGGTGTAAGCCATTTCTCATTAATTTCCCTGGGTTCAAGACCTCGAGTACCGTGATCTGCAGGATTCAGAGTAGTTGGAAGGTGATGCCATTGTAATTGATGATCCATTGTTGAGATTTCAGTTAGTCGATTTACCACAAATGTTTTTTGCTGTTTCGACGATTTTATCCAATCGAGTATCACTTGACTGTCTGTTCGACATGTAAAACAGCTGTTCTGTTGATATGAAGTTCTTTGGTCGCAAATGACAAAAGCGTGCTCCAACTGTTGCAGCTTCTAGTTCAAGTTTTGGTACACTCAGTTGTTTAATAGGCGCAACCTTGCTAGCGCACTTGCCCGTTTTACAGCCAGAAGAGGTAGCCCTAAAAAAATTTACAGTGACAATGGGAAGACTTTTGTAGGAGCTAGTAATGAGCTCAAGAAATGCCTCAAACAACTAGATAAGAAAGAATTGAAACCAAGCGAGCAGTCAAAGAAATTGAATAGAAACTCAAGCCGCCTTTTGGTCCTAATTTTGGTGGGGCCTGGGAGCGATTAATCCAGATCGCCAAACGCATAATTTCAATCATTCGTGGCTCTAAAAAGCTTACGCTGGATCTATTCAATACCATTCTTACGGAAACAGAAACAATGTTAAACTCAAGACCTCTGACAAACGTTGCCGTTATCACAGACAATAAGGAACCACTCGCCCCGAATCATTTTTTTTAAATTCAAAGTTAATTGTTCCTTAGGTGTTTATTTAGATCATACAGAAAAATGCAAACAGGTTAACTCGAAATACAGTTTTTTAAGAAATGAGTAAATGCCGAAAAAAAACTATTCATTGGAAAAGGGAATTTTCAAAGTTTTTAAATGTGACATGGGAGGCAAGATCCAGTTTACGTAAAAACAAAGTCGCGTTCGCGTCGTTTGCAATCAGGTTTCTTTTTTACTCAGATATGCGCTCAAAAAGCTTTGTTTTCCTTGGTTACGGGGAGAGCAAGTCTGGGAGGAAAACGGCTAAAAAAAGGTTTGTTTTACTGTCAAAGTCGCTCTCCTCAGAATAGTTACTCGCAACTTTGTTCGCTCATCTCGGGGTTACAAGTCAAAATCAATATACAAGCAAACATATATTGGTTAACTGCAAAGATTTTTTCTTTTATGAAGACATGTATATTTTGTCAGATTTTTTCTCTTCTTGCTTTTTTTTTTGATGATCTCCTTGTCAAAAATTATTTCTCAATTCTTTGCTTTTGCTATTTCTTCTGTTGTTGAATTTATTTTCCAAATAGTGTGAACTGTGCAGTCGATTGTGTAGTTTCGTCTTCACGGTATATTGTCCACGGTCAAAGGAAAAATCTGGTGTGCCAGTCTGAGGAAAAAATACAGGGGAAGATCAGGGATCAGGTGTATTAAAAGGGGGTGTTTTGTTTGGAAAAAACAGAGTGAAAAAAAAAGATTTTTTTTGCTCAAGTTAATCGGCTGTCGAATGGATGATAGTAATCACTGTTCAGCATTCGCCAAAGCGTGTATTGATAATCTTTCTTATCAACAAGTTTCACGAAGGTTTAATTCACACTTTCCACTGGTATGTTACAAATCGCAGTGACTTTCAGAATCAATTTTGACTTATTCCATGATTTATCATAGTGCGGGAAAGTTGCTTCAGCAACATGATATATCATTCGAACCATTCCAATGATTATTCGTGGTACCTTTTTTGCGTGGAAAACAAAAGGAAAAAAAAATAAAACAATCAAAGACAGCAGAATCAGATTCTGTTGCCGTAGCCTGGGGCCTTAGAATGAATTTTGTACTAAATTTTCAAACTATCAGAACTGTCTGTTTGATCCAATCGATGTCATGTTTTGGCTTTTAAATCATCTTCGCTTTTTGCTGTTGAAACGGATGTTAATTGTTAGATATTCATGCATGGTTTGGTGGTTAGAAACAAAAGTGATTACTTTTTGATATTCAAACGGCGGAATGGAATGACTAGAAAAGGGAAACCACAATCTGTACAAACTAACCGCACGCTCAAGATTGATGAACTGTTATGTAAAATAGTGAAGGTGTGATTTTGGTTCGTTCGAATGTTGACGAAGAGAAGGTATTTACCATTTTAAAGCCACGTGGTTGTGCTTTGAGCCTTAGAGACTGAAAAAGTGTCTTAGTTTAGACTGCGTTTCCTCATTTTGTTAAACTCTAGGCTTCTCAGCGCTATGCAATGTACATCATAACTGAAGCTAGATAGTAAATAGAATCCACAAAGACGTGACATCCTTTTTGAACGTTTGTCTTGCTGTGGTTTTTCCAAGGCGTTCAAACTAGATTGATTATACGTTGACTGAACAGATTTATGAAGGTGTTTGCTTCAGTTTTTTATGTTTCGGAACCTATAGTCAAAGATAAAAACAAGTGATAAGCTTTCGAGTCGCAGAGTATTTCAGAGAAAAATTGGAACGAATAGTTTTAATTGGTGCCAAATGTACCAAAAACCATAGAAAAAGATACCATGGTGAAAGATTGACTTGAAATGTATTTCAGAGAAAAAATGGAAATAATAGTTTAATTGGTAGCTAAGGTACCAAAACAGGTACAGAAAAACATCCGATGCAGTTAAGCGTGGTATGATGTGAAAGTGCTTAGAATTGGGATTCGAACTGTCGTTGTAAAAACAGCCCAGTATTTTTTCCTTGTCGAGAATCTCTTATAAATTGACTATGAGTTGCATGCGATCTATTATCTTAAAGGAGATATCGCGTCGAAAAAAGCGTTTTTTAAATAAATTTTTCCGACAAGTGCCCAAAAAATTTGGTCAAAATAGGGTTCTGGGAAAATCAATTTGGTCGATCTAAATTTTTTTTTTTTTGAAAATCCGCCGGCCCTTCTCCCCCTCCCGAAAGTCCTAGATTCGCCCCCTGATTTTAACGACAAAATTTTGAATTTGAAATAATTTTGATGATTTATCTAGAACTCACGTGGGGTAGTTCTAGGTTCCAGTAATGTTCTATTTTGTCAGATAGAACATTTTGTTTCAGTTTGATCCAATCATGTGAGCAGTACAAAGAGTATGACCCGATGCTGACCCCGGCTGAACCCTCTAACCCCTGGATCTCGGAAGAGACCACGTTTTGGGACCTGGAGAAGAACACGAAGGACTACTCGACGCGGCGCGTGAAGCGATGGGCATTCTCAATAGACGAAGTGCTGCGAGATCCGGCTGGAAAAGAGCAGTTTGCCAAGTTCCTAGCCAAGGAGTACTCAATAGAAAACCTCAAGTTAGCAACCGCTGCTTGTCTTTTAATTTCAGAAAATCACACAGACAAAATAAGGTAAAAAAGCGCAATTGACCCGAGAAATTTTGCGTTGAAAAGCATAAAAAAAATCTTAGTGGTTCACGCTAATTTTTGGTTTTCCGCGGTTCGACTTTTTTGTTTTCAATTGAAATTCATTGGCTAAAAGGAGGCAAATTATGCTCTCATATAACAAAAATAAACTGATTTTCCAGCGGAATAAAATTGCTAGCTATTGATCCAGTTTTTGCAGCACAAAAAAGTTCTTAAAATTCAAATCGCTTGCAGGTGATGTGTTTTGAAGCTCGAAAGTTTCTCAAAAACAATAAATCATTTATAAAATTCGAGTAATGGGAACATAGTGTGCTTAGCAACCGGCTTTTTTTTTACTGTTGTTAATGTTGTGTGTTTAGTTTTTACAACCAAGTGCATGAGTTGAAGAAGGTGAGTGAGAAGGAAGTGGTGGAGAAGGTGAAGGCCATCTGGGCAGAGTTCCTGGACCCTAACAGTGCCCTGTCCCCTGTGAACATAGACAGCAAGTGCATGGACAAGACAAGGAAGGAGACCCAGGGACCCAACCCTGGCAGACACACCTTCGACGACGCCAGAGTGAGTAGCACACACACAACTTCGCCTCTAAGTCAGCGTGAAGTCACGTTAAGTCATCGTATAACTAAAAAACATTTCAAATCCAGAAAGCCAAGTAAACATACAATGCTTCATGGTAAAAATTTCTTCAAAAAATGCTAATTTTTTTGAAGAAGTAACTCTTTAAACTTATGAAAATAAAAAATAAAACTCGATTTTGCGTGACAAAAATGACCATAGGCCATGGTTGGTCGCTTCCATAAGATCCTTTTTTTGATAAGTTTTATGAGATTGTGAGGTGACGGAGGCTTTATTTCCTTATATTCAGTAAATGAAATGAAAATCTTAAGATCGGTTTTTCTCGTGCATGAAATAGAAGGTTTTTCTCTGATAAATTTTTCATCATGGCACAAGCAGGGGCGGATCTAGGATTTTCTCGAGGGAGGAGGGGGTTGTGAATTTTTGAACAATTTTGTCCGACTTTTTTAAGCTCGGCCAAATTGAGTTTGCGGTCTCCCAAAGCACTAAAAAGACCCAATTTTGTCCAAATTTTCTGCGCCGCTTGCAAAATTAAAAAAAAAACTGACCAAAAAGGAGTTTTTAGTTATTATTTTTTAGAAAATGCTGACCGAAAAATCGGGTCTTCCGGCGCGTGTTTTCCCTCGTAGTTAGTATATATTGGCGCCTTTAGAAAAGGTTTAGGGTTAGCCAGCTAAATATGGAGGTCTTAAATTAGTACCAAAAGGAAACCCGTTGGGTAGTCGGGGGGTCGAATCCCTGATGGGGGATGAGACTGTCCCCCCAAATTCGCTACTGGGCACCACAACTTATCTGATGTATATTGAAATAAGTAGAACAAACCGCTAGAAGAAACGCATAATAGTGGAAAACATAAGGATATTACCCTTAAATGTATATCGCCCTGATCGATGAATATTGACCTTCAATAAAACATATGGCTCTTTGATTATTCGCGGATTGGCTTTTGATTCTGTCCAAGTTCAGTTCAAATTCATTTGCTTAAAAGAAGGCGTGTGACGCTCACCTCAATTAAGAAATTGGAAACGGCGCAAAAAAAAACATTTTCCAGCTGAAAAAAAAAACGTTTGTCTTAGTTTTCTCTAATTAGGTTAGTTTTCTGAAAAAGTTCGAAAATGAACCTTAAACATGATGTTTTCAAAGTAGGCTATGTTTTAATAAATGCTTTTCTGAACTAGGACTACCCTCAATTTATTTATGCATTAATGCATTCTTTGTTTGAGTAATTATGTTTGATTTTGTTTCAGGACCATATCTATAAACTAATGCGAAGTGACAGCTACCCGAGGTTCATCAAATCAGAGCAATACAGAGAGCTAATAGCCGCCAAGCGAAAGGTAATTCAAGTTCATGCTAATGAGTTGAAAGAATGATTTATTATGAACAAATAACTGCATCAAAAATGTAGAACTGTTTGACAAATGAACAATTTTGGTTTTGTCTGGTTACAGAAATGAGACAACGAGTAAGGCTGAATTGTTTTGAAGTTGTATAGATTGTACTTTTGTTTTCGTACTCTTACTATTAACTCTGCTCTTGCATCCCTCGATTGCAGAATTTAGTTCTTTTCAAAAGTTTACTTTATTTTTGAGGACCAACTGTCAAAACATGCAATAGTTCAGGAGTTTGAAAATATCTTGAGTATTTTTTCAACCTGAGAAAGTTTCAAAGAGTTGCTAAGTATCAGCACGGATCAAAAAGGCAATAAAAAGAAATTGAAAACCAGGATTGCCAAGATTACCTGGTTATTTCCCATTATTGCCCCCATCCCAAGAAAAAAAATATATAATCCCATACACTGATATTTCTATTATTGGGAGGGGGGCTAAAAGTTACGGGGGGCTATACTGAGAATGACCCAAAATCCGAACGTTACTATTATATCTAACACAAGCCGAAATTGTTGGATGTTTTGACTTGGCCTTTTTTAGTTCTTCGGATTTGTTGTTTCGTTGAAATAATGTAAGAATGCAAAGAACTTCACAATGTGTCGTTGTCGTCTAGAAGAACAACTTAAACATTGGTGTTCATTCGGGCGTCATTTTCTGTTCTATCAACGTTTGTCTCAATTAGCACACTAAAGACATAGTTTGAGTTTGCCTTTGGCGTTGCTTAATATGGAAAAAGAGTTGGAAAAGTTCTGAGCCAAACGACGGAACGGGGTTTGCAATTTTTTAAACTTAGATGATCAGCTGTTTACCAAGAACATTGAAGTTTCATCTAGCGTGTTCGTTAGGCAGCTGAAGTAGCTATCGCGAGATGGTTGGCACATGTGCTAGTTGCCGCACCGCTGATGATTGTTTTACTTTCATCAAGTGAAATAATTAGAAGTGCAAAAATTAGAGGCACAACTAATTTCTGACAGTGAATCTATTACTTTATTAGAACAAGACCAACAAGTAAGTTCAACGTTCAAGAGCGCTTTGGGTACAAACCTGAAACTGTACTCCTTTTGTGTTGCGGTTCGTTCTAGGCTTTGTGTTTAGGGTTAGGGAATCATCACCACTCCTCGCACTAAATGTAATTGACAGGAGGTTTTTTAAGCTTATAAGACATTTAAAAATGATCATAAGAATAAGGGTACTTGTACTTGTGCTAGTATTTTATTGAGGCCCTAAGTTGGCTCGAAGCATATTTGACTTAGGGTTGGTTTTTCACAGGCAGCTTGGAGTTTGATTTATTATGATTCGACTAAGTTTTTTTCGCGCATTAATTTGGAAAATTACGGAAGCAGAGAGATCATTTAATGTCAGCTTTAGCTTTGAGAAAGGAAGAAAGAAAATTTATTTCTCCATAATCGTATAAGTACAGATATTACAGTAATTTTAAAACATTACGTCAGAAAGCTCAAACTAGTTCTACAAAATACCAGATTAGAGGGAATAAATACAGTTTGAGAATATTAAAAAACGGTTTGATTTCGAGAAGTCTTTTAGGAACCAGACCGGAGCGTGTCTCCTAAACCAGGACACAAGCGAAGGGCTATGACTCATCAATTTGTTGCGTTGACTTTGTCGAAAAAATGACAACCGTCTGACAAACAGAAAACAAGTTACTTTAAATAAATTATTAGATATCAGTTATAAGCTAACGTTAGGTAAACACATCAAATCTGGATCCTCAACTTCACTTTTTTTAACAAAAATTGAAGCCTATGAATCATCAGAAAGGTTATTTTATATCCTTAAGAAATCGACAAACTAATAACTTGGTTCTTTAAGTAGTGTTCAAATGTGCCCACTGGTTTAGCTGTAGAAAAGTGTTTTCTTATTTTTAGTGATTTGTGAAATAATTTCCCCTATTGTGAAATAATTTATTGATTATATAGTATGTACGGTAGAACTTCATCGGTCGTTTCGCCAGCAAGTTAATTTAAACGATTTGGAATTATATTTCTAAACAATTCAAAGGGACTTTGGCTAGCTTCTATGTATTGACGGTATCATTCGTTTTTCGGCTTCTTGGCAATTCGGCTCCATGAAATGTTACCTGTAACGTGCACCCGTTATGGGTTAGATGATGAGGTTAGGTTCTTTTTAGTATTTATTAACAAACAACTGGTACATTTAAATAGCAAATAGTAATAACTAGGACTTTTAATTACCATCTAGTAATAACTAGTATCTATCTGTACTAAACAGGCTAACTCCTCCTCCGCCTCTACTTCGGGCGGGGGAATGACTGGAAACCTCATCACGAGGTCCAGTAAGTGGCAAGTTGCCAGAAAACACATGGAGGTAACGTATGGCGGGAAACGTTCTGCTGCAGCTGCTGCTTCTGATGCTGGCACTTCTAGCAGACCGGGCAATTAGCCGAAGTGAGTCTTATTCATTTCCTGAAGGAATGAAGGTGTTTTTTGTTTCATATCGTCTTTTTCATCTCGGTTTTTTACGTCTTTTTCATTGTCTTTTTATTGAGGGTTTTATTGATTGCGTCCAAGAACGTCGACCCTATAATTTTAAGATGTGTTGTGTTGTTGAAATCAACTCAAGTTATAATAACCACTTTCTGTAGTAGGCGTGTCAGAGAAATAGTTGCTACATAGATACTTGCTCATTGGCAGTAAAAACGGGATGTATTGATTTAGCGTTGGAAATTTTCTTTTTTCGGCTAAGTCGTCATTCTATTTGTAACTAATTAAAAATCAAAATTCTATCTACATTTCATTTCATCAAAGTGACATTTGATACATGAACTTGCAACTGAAACGTTCGCGCCATAAAATGATTTCAGCCAAAGGCTCAGTTGAAAATTACGTATGCGTTCCTGTGGTTCCCAAGAATAATTTCTGATGAAAATTTTTGAATGCGTTTTCTGCTTTAAATTCGGTATGCTAAGTGCACATACAGCCACCATTGGATACGCTGAATTATCGACGACACTGGATTTACTTATGAAGTTGCCTAAAATTAAAAGCAAATTGATTAGTTTAATTATTAATGCGACAGCCTGGAGTTAGATGAACAATTTTACACCAGCAGCTAACATTTCTGCATCATCATAAGCTAATTTTTGACTGCAATGGTTTTCGAAAACTCCAATTGAGGAAGATTTGTATAATTAACGGACCCAAAATTCGTTAGAATAAATAATTGATTAGTTTTGCCATCGAAGCATTCATTCTAGGACAATTTAATCAATCCTTGGTGCATAAAAATTAGAATAAAAACTATATAATATGATCTGTTCGTGCCGCTTTTTTGTATGCAGGCAAGTGAGGGGGATTGTTTGGCTCGTGCTATTCTAAGGGCAAGGGTGGGTTTATGTAGTTTGCTACGAAACTAAAGGATTTTTAAAATTAATGATTATCAAGACGAGAAGAAGAGGACACGTTTATTGATGTCGAGCTTGGTCGATGAATATGCCAAGATTTCAGAATCTTAATTGCCCACTTGGTCTGGCTAGTCAAAATCATTAGTAATTCACGCATATCAAATATTTTAGATAATAATTTTACCACGTTTATGTTAAAATCAACATAGATATGACTGCAGAAGTTGATGAGCATCAAGATTGTTGAGAGTTAAACCAGCTTAATTGGACAGTCGAGAAAAGACCCATTTTTCTACGCTCATCGAAAAATTTTCAAGTTAATTATGTTGTCAAGAAAGAACTTAAAATCTATTTTACCACATTTTGAACAACGATTTTTCGAGCGCGTCATTTTGACTAGGGTTTATTGGTTTCCTCTGATCGCCCAGTTGACGTTATCGTACTAAATGAGTGTAAAATTTATCATCATCTGTGAGTGATCAACCCATGTTTTATGTTCTGTCAGGTGTTTGTCCAGTGGTGTGTTGTGTGATTTACGGGTGTGATTTGTCACAAAATTAGGACACGTGATCGTTTTCATTTTTTGTCATCGAAAGTCAGTCTTTTTTGGTCCCGCTTGTTTATTTGTTTTCATGTTTTGACTTTTGCAAAGAGTATCTAAACCCTCATTTTCAACACGGAGCTCAAATGTGGGATGGGATCAAAATAAAAACAGCATGAAAAACTGTTCTATTCTTACCGCAGAAAAATGCCATCTTTACGCCCCCTAACTCAAATTTTTGTATCCCAAAAAAACATTGGGTGATCTGCGTTTTTCAATTTACCAAGTGTCAATGAACAAGGTCAAGACACTTATTTAAGTCTTGTGTATTTTTAGGATTTTTGTATTCAATTTGTTCACGCCCAAGTTTGATATTTGCGGTTTCTTACTGATATAATTGAATTGATATCGTTTGATATCGATAATAGTTCAATTGAAATTCGTTTCTTGAGAGGAAGACAATTTACGCTCTCAAATACCAAAAGTGCAAATCACCTGAAAAAGATGATTCATTTTATGTTGAGAAAATGGATTTAAATTTGATCTTTTGTCATTTTTGATCTCTATTCAAGTAGAATTCAAATTCATTTGCTAAAAGGAAGGCTAACTACGTTCTTCAATATTGTGCAAACTAGTGCAAATGGCGCAAAAAATGTTAATGGCGTCTAGTTTTGTAACTGATTTTTCGCGGTTTGAGTTTTGATCTCTATTTCAGCATAATTCAAAATAGTGCTCTCCAATATCGAAAGTGCAAATGGTGCGAAAAAAACTTGAATGACTAAGTTTTATAATTGAATTTCAAAGTGAGTTTTTATGATTTGATTTTGATCTCTATAAAATTTCAATTCCATTTCGTTTGTCAAAAGGAGGGCGAACTATGCTTTTCAATATTCAAAGTGCAATTAGCGCAAATGTTTTTCACCTTTGAAAGTGGATGGAAATTTGATTTTTTTTGCGATATGACGTATTGTCTCTATTTCAGTTCAATTCAAATTCGTTTGCTGAAAGGAAACGATTTGTTTTTGAATATCAAAAGTGCAAATAGCGCAAAAAATATGATTGACTTTAAATTGAGAAAATGGATTCAAATTTCATCTTTTGTGATTTTTGATCACTATACAAGTGCAATTCAAGTTTTGCTAAAAGAATATACTTTTCAATATTAAAAATGCAAAAGACGCGAAAAAATGCGAATGAAATGAAGTTTCGAAAGTGGATTTATTTTTCAGGTTCTTTGGTGAAAAGAAAAATAACCTTTTTTTTATTTTTCAAGTTTCAGTTTGATTTGAAATTTTACTCTCAATTGACAATTTTAGAAATTATTCAGAAAATTGTACAGAAAGTCAGTTCAGGTGTTTAGTTTTAAGAGTGATCCGTGGAAAAAACCCGTATTGATGATTGTTTCTCAAATTGACTTCGTTTTTATTAAAATAAGCGATTTCATATGATTCTTGAAATTCAAAAAGATTTTGGGTGTTGGGTGATCTAATATTATATAAATTTTGTAAGTTATCAATTCTTAATTGAATCTTTGATTTCAAAAAGTTTGTTTTTATGAGTCGATGAACGTATTTTAGACTCTTATATAGGTCGCAATGATTTTAGTTTACTTTTTCGCGGGTTGACTTTTGTTTTCTTTTCAAGTTCAATTTGTTTTCTTTGATAAAATGAAGACAAGCTCCCCTATCGAACTGAGAAAGTTAAAAAGTCATGAAAAACGTGATCGACCTCTAGTTTTCAGCAAAATGAAAAGTTACCTATTGATCCAGTTTTCTCAAACTGGGTTAATTTTTTTGAAAAAGTGTCAACCATCAATTGTTCTTGAAATTCAAAGAGCTGTTAGGGCATTTATTTTTTCTTTGAAATTCGAAAGTTGCAATGTTTTGTCAAAACAGGTCAGTTTTTTCTGTTTAATTGCGTTCACTGACTCTTTTTTTGAACTGTCTGTTGGCAATATTTTGTTTTCCAGGGTTCATTAACACTGTTCCAACTGGAAGGGTTTTTATTGATTGACTTCAAAATTTTTTCAAACAAATCAGGAAGTTTGGTGCTCTCTGAGAAGAAGGAGGCACTGATAACCAATTTGTTCATTGTCTCCTGTAAATGAGTTAAAACAGAAAAGCACAAGTCCCCTTCCTTCTTTCTTTCCTTGGGGCCACTCCTGAAAAGAGATTGACTGCTGCTGCTGCTGCTGTCTGTCACTTGATCGAGTTTGTTCACACTCCCATTTGATTGAGCTCTAATTACATTCTGTAGTTCTATCTCTCTCTCTCCCTCGAGAGCCCGAGGACGAATTAGATAGAGTTCCTCTAGATAGAATCGAGTTCCTAGGAATCAAGTAGACGTCTTTTGTTTGCGGGGTTAGGACGCATTAGCAGTTTGGGGCAGTGAACCAATTGCGAAAGGCGATGCCCTAGACATCAATTTTTTCAACTGATAACTTTTTCAAGTCGAACTAAGCTGAAGGTTAACACAAAAATTATTACAAAATAGAAAGATGTGTATATGATACCATACGGAATTGTTGTTTGATTTGGAGTTTACTGATTTTCTGTTTGGAATATTTGACAATTAAGAAATATTCTAGAGCCTGTTTGCAATGACAGAACTAGGGAGTTGAATTTGTTTAATTTCAGCCAAATATCTCAGTGAAGTTTTCTCTAAAACTGGGATATTGAATGCGCTGTGGTATTTGCAAGTGGTTTGTATTTTATTTGAAATCACTTATAATTTGCAGTGGCGTGGGCTGTAAAAAAGTTGCGTGGGCGAAGTGTGGATCTGGTGGACTTTTCTCAGAGAGGTGGGGGGAAGGGGGGGGGGGTGAGAGCACATTTTGTTGAAAATCCATAAAAAGGTTATTTTAGCGGTTCAAAAACAAATTTGATGTGCTAAAATTGTTATGAAGTGTTCAGCGGAAAAGGTTCAGAAACCCAGCCGGCCATTTAAAAGTTATAGATAAAAATTGTGCACGCCGCTGATAAACACCGACCGCCAATGTGAAATCGGATGAACTAGCCAATGTATAAACGATCTGAAAATGAGCATAGTATATAAACCTATCGAAAGTTTTGACTCTTGTGCTGAAACATTCTTTTTTGTCGAATTTGGTTTGTTATCTTGATTATGAAATAACTTCTCTGTATTTTCGGCTTGTTTATATGGTAGCTGGCTTATTTGTCACATCAAATCACCTCAAGTAAAACGTCAAGTCACAAGTACAAAGATCATTCATGAACAAAACTACACTCATGGAAAATTAATTATAGAAGCTGAATATTATAAAGCCTTCTTGCTCGATGATAAATGAGATATTGGAAAGAGCGCAGATTGAGATTAGTATGACTGAAAGTGCAAAAATGATAGTTCAATCGTTCGGTCAACTTGCAGCTTAGATCCGACTGGTTTTAGTTTAACGAATTCTAGTTGACCGCGTTTGATAGTGGTTACGTAGCAGTATTTAGACAACTGCGTGTTCCAACTCGTCGGTAAGCAGACCAATGCTGTATTAACCAATCAGAATCGAGACAAGGAAGTAATTAATAATTTTTTATTTCTGAAGTTTGCTTTCTCATCTCGATTCTGATTGGTTAATACAGTATTTGTCTGCTTACTGACGAGCATGAATACGCGGTTGTCTAAATACAGACCGCACTCCTTTGATAGTATACTAGAACAAAAACTGTTGCTTGATCAAATATATATAGTTATACATCTTTTTTGTAAAGCTATCTTAACTAATTTATAAAAATGCTTTAACCGGACTTTATCGACGTTTTTTGGGACAAGATTGTTATAAACGCACAAGCACTGATCATTTCACTGTTCATCTCATGTTTGATGTTACGTTTGTACAGGGGCGGATCGAGAGAGTAATCGGAGGGCGGGGGGTTCAAATTTTAAGAAAAAAATGTAATTTATTAAAATTGGAGACATTTAGGGTAAAGGGGGGACAAGTCACCCAAATCCGCCCCTTGCTGTGTGCGTGTTGAAGTGCTTTGTTGTATCATCTTTTTTATCTTTGTTTTTGGAGCTCTCTTGTTTTTCTTGAAATCAAACGATTTTTGAGGATTTAGTTCTTACAGGAGATTAAATGCCTTAAAAGGCGTCTTTCAAAAAAAGTGAAGATAAAATATTGATTGAAAAAACGGAGCAAAGATATGGATTAATTTTATCCTTTTTGCAAATTTGAAACGTTTCTTTGAACATGATTAAAGTGTCGATGAGTTTCTACCAGTAAAAAAGAAAGAGTTGTTTTCTAGCCTCAAGCCGTCTTATAATTTACTTTAAAAAAATTTGAAGTTAACCTTTGAGATGTTCTCTTATTTTTGCTTAAAAAACAAGAAATTAATCATTTGGATGGGCAATTTGTTGCATAAAGCATGCTCTTAAAGTGGTGTTGAAGATATTTTGGGAGGTTGATGTTTGAGTGTTTGTGATTTTAGACAAGATCCCTGATGCCTATACGATTAAGTACTTCGACGAGTCCTACTAACACTTCATAGACACTTCTCTACTGCAACAACTCTGTCTTGACCCCTGGCCTTGGTGGTAACCTTTGACCCCTCATTTCTGCGACCTCTTCTAATTACTTCATCCTTCAATCCCCATGTGTTGACATCAACATCCAACTGAACCGGAAAATCAAAAATGTCTTCATGCTTTCAAAGTGGTGAACAAGAAGAAAAATCAGATGGATAGTATTGGTTCACAAGCAAACAAATCATCAAGTATTTATAATTGAGAAATTATATGAAAAGTGGTGCAAATAGTTAAATTAAAATTACACGCTCATTAACTCGCAGTTGAATCATAAAGGCACTCAGCTGAAAAACTGTATACGTATCCGATTGGGCCATTTGAAATTAATTTCAATATCCCCCCCCCCGCAAAAAAGTATGAAACATGACAAAGAACTCTGCTTGGCTATAAACCCTAGTAATATGTCATCTTAAATTCTGTTACATATATGATAACATAAAATTGATTTAATCTGCTTGTTGATTAATGGTTTTATGGCCATTAAATCAGAAGCTGACGTTCTTCTGACATGATTTGAACTCCAAAAATGGCACTAATCAGGTCTTTTTGGTTTTTATACTTTTTAAATTAGACTGTAGTTTTCTGAATACAATTTTGTGATGACTTTTCGATCTCGATCATTTCTTTCAGCCAATCAGGTTGCTTTATTGCCAAGAATTGAAGGTATTCATGCTATCTTGGTGATGTAACCGAAAAGACCCCTACATTAAAATTAATTTAGTAATTTGGGTTATATTTGCTGCAAATTCTACTTAACCTATTCTGCTTGCAGTGTAGTGTGGTACCTACCTTGAAACTCTGTTAATTTAAAAAACTATTAATAAATTGTAAATAGTTTTCTATCTGTGATCAGGAAGCTTTTTAGAATTAATCATTTGGTGCAAAACTTTACTTAATTTTATTAGAGTAGACAACAAGCTTGGACTGGGAAACGGAGTTGACAAAAATCAAGGAAATCAAGTTAAGGATAGCGTTTAGTCATCACTGACAAACATAGACTAGGTTTTATTAAGAATTTCAATACACTTTGGCAGCTCTGCAATTATCAGAAAAAATCATCTTCTGTGAATTTTGCTTTTAGGCTGAAAATGGTTTGATGAGATTCTAAACAGTTTTCCCAGACTCAACTTGTGAAGTACTATTAAAGTTATATCGTCATCTAGTTTTCTAAGAATTAAAGTACGTCATTTTATTCATCCTTCAAATGCTATAATCACCTCTCACTTCAAGTCTATTAAGAGTCGATGAACGTAGTTCAGACTCTTATACAGGTCGTGATGGTTTTTTTGTGTTTTATCAAGCTCAAATTTATTTTTCGCGGTCTGAATTTCTTTTCAAAATCAGTTTTAAAAGGAAAGCGAACTCCACTATCTAACAGCAAAATAGTGAAGGTCACGAAAAACATGATCGACTTCTTATTTCGAAAACTGAATTAATTTATCAAATTTCCCAGCGAAATAGAAATTTTATCTATCGCTCCAGTTTTATCAAATTGAGTTAATTTCATCAAAAAACTGCCAATCATTAATTGTTATAGAAATTCAAAGAGCTTTAAATTAATCTAATTTTTCTTTGAAATTCGAAAGTCGGAATTTTTCAAAAAAACAAGTCAGTATTAAATTTTGTTTAATTGCGTTTCTTGACTCTTTTCCAACTGCCTGTTGGCAATGTTTTTTATTCCTTTGCTGATGAGGGAGACACGAACCATCACTATCCTCGAAATAATTTGTAAATAGTTTTAATTTAATGCAATAGTAAATTGGTCTTGACCTGGTTAAATCGGTCAGCCTGATTTTGTATCACTTTTAACCTTTTTCGACCGATAATTTGACCCTATTGACTTCACTGTAGGTTGTCGGAACTTTCGTTCGTATTCGTGCAGTAAATCTATTTACTTATTTTCTTTCCCTCTTTCATTCAGTCACATGTGATTTAGAAACTGAATTTGGTTTTGACGCTTTGAGTCTCAATGAATCGAGTCGAATCTGAATTAAATATGATTTGTAAGTCTTTGTGCAAAATTTAACAAAGCATGGTCCTATTTTTAAATTAGAATATTTGATCCTTAGCTTGTTTTCACTCAGCGTTATGAGAAGAAAAGTTTCAATTTAGGTAGTATGGGTTTCTGGGTTGAAATCGAGTCATTGTTCTAATAAAGTTAAAGATATTTTGCAGTTTGTTAAATCATAATGATAAAGATGATAGTTCTTTTTTTCGGTCTGATTAAATTTTAGTTACCAAAGAGAAAAGTGTTTATCAATAAAATGTTTTCCTATTTAAACAGCAGCCTTATGATTTCTATAATCTACTTCCTTTGTGATCGAGAGTGTATTAGATCATAAGCTCATATCTCGTTTTTTCCCTTTCAAGGTCCCTTTTAAGTCAATGCATTTAAGATAAAATGAACCCTTGCGCTCTTTATGGGTATTTAATGGGCGAAAATTAAACCCTATACTAGACGTTTGTAGCTTCTCATTCGTTTCAAATATGGGCATCTGGCTTTAAGTGGTGACATAACACACATAAACGCAAGTGTCCATTCCTCTCATCACTTGTTCAACTGTCTGTTGGCGATGTTAAGTATTTCTAGCGGAACAATAAAACAAACCTATTGATGCAGTTTTCTCAAATTGGGCTATTCAAACAAAAAAATCATGTTCTTGAAAACGCTGGTTTTTTCTTGAAAATATTAGTTTCTTGAAAGCAGAAGTGGATTTTTTTTTTTGGGGGGGGGGGGGGGGGACTGTCCCCCTTAGTACTATTTTGAGATAATTTTTGGCTGGCTGACCTTTCTTAAAATTTTCTAAAGGAGCTTTTGGCTCCAATATATACTAATTTTAAAGGGGAGCTCGCGCCAAAAAAAAACGCGCTTTTTAATCAAAATTTTCCAAAAAACGCCTATAAACGCCTTTTTGCTGTTTTTTTTTAAACCAGTTGCCTGCGTTGAAGATTTGGTCGCAATAAGGTCATTAAATGGATTTGTGAGAGCTGAGAAAAATCATGATCAATTTTTTTTTGAAGTTCTCCCCTCGAGAAAATCCTAGATCTGCGTCTGCTTCAAAGAAATCTTTTATTTCTTTAAAACGCAAAAGAAATTTAGGTAAAGTTGAAATTTGTTACAGATTAACACGTCTCAATTTTTTTTTGTTATTTGAGACAAGTCTATTCTTTTTGTTGTCTGAAACAAGACTGCTCGTATCAGGGCAAAGCCCTGAATGTTGCGACTGCCTTTTAAGGTCTATGGAGCAGTAATAGCATGAAAAAATTTGAAGAAAAAAAATAATTTTTTTTGTGACAATCAACCCCCACACGCCCATATAAAGTACAAAAAGATAGATTTCGCTCCTTCTAAGACGGATTATATTTCCGCTTACGCGTTAATAGTTCGAAGTAAATCACGCGTTAATTGTCCCAAAATGGCAATCTTTAAACCCCCATAACTCTACAAAAAATGATCACAGGTGAATATCTTTTCAAATTTAAGCTCAGGACAACAATACCTTCTGAATGATTATAACAAGCCATATTTGACGGAATTTTTTGATATCATTCAGAAGGTATTGTTGTCAAAATTTGTCTGAAAAAAACCACCCCGAGCACAAATATTTCGTTACGAAAGTCGGAACAATAATTCACTACGTATTCCAATATAAGACGGTTGCAATGGTATTGGGCCTGTAGACGCATATAATATAGAAAGCAGAGCTTCTTTCACAGCGTTTTGAAGAGAATGGGCTATATATACTAATTTGAATTACCAGCAGCACTGGTGGCTTTATGTTTTATGTCAGAAAATATGATAATCAAAGCCTCAGATGTCTAATTTTCAATGTGCGACACTTAGATTGGGGAAGCATTCAGGGTTGTGCTATGCTTTTGTTCAAATCATGAGTTAGTTTTTTCTTGGAGTGATTTGTTCTGATTTTTACGCATGCTCAGGTAAGTTGTATCTTGTCTTCTGAATGCACTAATTTCAGAAAAAATATATTGCTTATTGTGGCTGAAGATGCCTAATGAGAACTCTGTAAAATATTAAATTAATCGAAAAGTTGTTATGGTTTATAAGAACCTAGAATGTAGAATTGTTAACTGTCGAGACACCCCGCAACAAAAATTGACTCTTCATAAACCCCATCTCCCTGGAATTTTGATCCCCTTTAATTTTTTTCGGGGGGATGGGGTCTGAATGAACCCACTGGATTTGTTATGCCAGAAAAGTTATAACGTTTTTTTACAGCAAATTTTGAGAGCTGCAAAACCTTAAACTGTCCTTTCAACGTAAAAAAATTGTAGTTTTGCTCGATTTAGTCATAATATTCATCAGAATTGATTCAAAGTTGCGGGACCACCCTGTTACTTTTGAAAATCCGCGAAAAAAACGTGTTTTTGTTCACTAAGAGTTCGACCCCCAACCCGGTAGTTTTCGAGCTCCGCGAATTACATTCAGCAAAGTATGAGCGTTCAAAAGAAAACTGCGGTTGCACATTGACTGGAATTAACGAATCTTTTTTTGGTAAAAGAGCTTCAGGTGAGCATGGATAGCTTTTCGCTGGTGCAAAATATTTCAATCTCGTGCTCAAAACTTTTGACTAATTACATTTTTCTTAGTTTTCAGGTTACTTTTGTAAAAAAAAATCAATTGTAGAATTTTTGCGCCTCGTCAAAGCTAATATTTTACCGGCGAAAAGCAAAAAACCGTTATCGATTTCTAGTTTCGAAGTTGAATTTTAATTTCAATATTTCCCAGCGCCCAAAAAACGCGCTTTTTAATCAAAATTTTCCATAAAACGCCTATAAACGCCTTTTTTGGCTGTTTTTTTTAAACAAGTTGCCTGCGTTGAAGAAGATTTGGTCGAAATAAGGTCATTAAACGGATTTGTGAGAGCTGAGAAAAATCTTGATCAAATTTTTTTTTGAAATTCCACCCTCGAGAAAGTCCTAGATCTGCGTCTGCTTGAAAAAAATCTTCTATTTCTTTAAAACGCAAAAGAAATTTAGTTAAAGTTGAATTTTGTTTCAGATTAACACGTCTCAAGTTTTGTTTTGTGATTTGAAACAAGTCTATATTCTTTTTGTTATCTGAAACAAGACTGCTCGTATCAGGGCAAAGCCCTGAATGTTCGGACTGCCTTTTAAGGTCTATGGACCAGTAATAGCATGAAAAATTTAAAGTAAAAAAAATAATTTGAGAAAATCTACCCTCACACGCCCATATAAAAGTACAAAAAGAGAGATTTCGCTCCTTCTAAGACGGATTAAATCTCCGCTTACGCGTTAATAGCGCGAATCATATCACGAAGTTTTCATATTTAAGCTCAGGACAGCAATACCTTCTGAATGATTATTACAAGCCATATTTGACGGAATTTTTTTGATATCATTCAGAAAGTATTGTCAAAATTTGCGTTCATCGACTCTTTCCGAATTGTCTGTTGGCAATGTTTTTTAATTGGTTGTTTTTATTATTGAAGAATCAGGCAGCATCTAGAAAGAAATCAGCAGATTGTCTGACTGATTTTCTCGGAAATTGTTCCCTAAGAATTGTAGAGGACTTTTTTCATACAATTTTTTGTAATCAGTGTGCGCGTTTATCTCCTGAAATCGTAAAAGTTTCGGAGTTTGTACAATTGGGGCTATTTGGTCAAGTAAGGCTATGTATAAAGGTCAGAGTAAGGGGGTTCGATCCCACGCACGGTGTTTCTTTGTGTTTTTGACTGAATTCGGGTTCCTTGTGAGGTGCCTTTAGCAAGCAGTTCAGCTTGATTGAGTGACCATAATTTGGACGTTGTTTTTTAAAATCAAAATTCGAATGCTTAACATCGAAACTTATTGCTTTGTATGGAACAAAGTTCCCCAGAACAACGTCAAGAAAATATAATACGACAATATTAGCCTAAATAGGTTTAAAATCTTCCAAAGAATAATTTGAAGGGATTGGCTATTGGAATAGATTTGTAATCCTCTGCTAAAAGTGTGGTCTGAAAAGCGGAAGCGTTCAAACTAACCAGTTTTTCCCGACACAAATAAAATTTTACTCCTGAGATTGTATATTTTTTCGGATCTGAATCGGGATGGGAAGGGTTTTAATATGAAATATCACGCGACTTACATGAAGTTAATTTATGCTACCTGATTTTGCGTGGAAAAGATATGGTTAACTCCACACCTGAATAGTTGGAACAATAAGGGTCGTGAACAAGAATGAAGATCTAAGGGAAAACAGAATTTATGAATATTCATAAAGTTTTCAAATTTTCACGGCGTCTTATGAGCGGTTTATAAATGTTTCAGCGATAGATACATTTTTCGGAAAAAATTTTCTATAAAATTTTTCTAGTTTTGGATTGCAACGAATAAAATTCCTCTGCTACTTGGTTGCGCGGCCAAAAATTTTAA